CCAAACTCCCAAGCATGGAGCATTATGTAGCGATATTGAGGGACTAATCTCAATACGCGAGGGTTCTTGTCAAGCTAGTGCAAGATAGAGCAAAAGAGAACTAACAAGCCGGGCCAAGTATGCTCAGCTAAATAGACACTTAGGAATTCCTTCCTTATGCTCATCCGGCCAAGTACAAATGCAAAGTCCAGTTTACTAACACTTGAACAAGAGGGACTAATAAAGGGTCTAGCAATACCGACCTCCTGCCATCGTGGCAGTAAGGTAAGAGTGTCCATAAGGACTGGTCGACAGGTAGCTTTCGATACCCGAAGTCACATGCGCGATAGTCATCGAGGTAGATGATCACCATCTGATCAAGAAACTCCTGAAAGACGTCGTTTGCCATGTGTTGGAAAACTGCTGGAGCATTTGTCAAGCCAAATGGCATGACAGTGTATTTGAAGTGGCCATAGCGGGTTCGGAACGCAGTCTTCCATTCATCACCAGGCCAGATCCGGATTAGGTTGTATGCTCCACGGAGGTCGATCTTGGTGAAGAAGCGGGCACCGCCGAGGCGTTCCAATAGGTCCGAGATCAGGGGCAGCGGATAACGCTTCCGAACAGTCACTTTGTTCAAACCTTGGTAGTCGATGACTAGCCGGAAACTCCCATCCTTCTTCCAGATGGAGATTGCGAATGCTAAATGTACCCCGAGGCAAGGTTCTCATCCACGTACTCTTTGAGGGCCTTAAGCTCGGACGGGGATAACCCATAGATAGGCCCCTACGGAGGTGACGCTCCTTCCTATAAATCAATGGGACAGTCATAAGGCCGATGAACAGGTAGTACACTAGCTTTTTTCTTGTCAAACACATCCCCAAAATCATGATACTTCTTAGGAAGACTGACAGGAGAAACATGCAAAGCAAAAAGGAAAATAGGTTCTTCATGAAGGAGTTCTTTCATAGTGATTGTGGAGATAAGAGGAGGCGTATGACTAAATGGAATTATGAGACGAAGATACTGTCCAGTGTAAGATGGAAGAGAGGAAAAAGAAGAGGGTGAAAACTTCGTAGAGTCAAGAACAGAACCCCAATTTGAGTTTAGGGAACTTTTTCTGATTCGGACTCGATGAACAGCAGAGGAAGCCGGGAAGACCGAGCACCACAGAGGAGGATTTGCTGTTGATGATGTTGAAGGCGATATTGGTGACAGTGGACCCGATTTGTACTCGAACAAACAACGTTTCCCTAAGTCCAGAAGATGGAGACACAAAATGCCCGCCGATGCCTTAAACCCTCAGATCCCGTATAGTAGAAGAAAGAGGAACGTGATGTCGGGCAGCAAAGTTTGTGTCCATGAAGCAGGAAGTTGCACCCGAGTCCAGTAGCACCAGAGCCTTGAGTCCTAATTGTTCGGTGAAAGAAAAGAGACATGGGACGCGGAAGTTGCGGGAATTGGTGGTGGCTTTGATAAAAGGTGGTGAGGAGCTTGATAAAGAAGAAAAGTGATTTTTATTCGGGGAGTCCAAACAGACAACTCCTACTCTGTTTGGACAGGGTCATTTCCCGACTGCAACAAAGGTGGATTTTGAGGCAGAGTGAACTCGAGCAGTCGGGGAGGCTTCTTGGGACACATACCTGCTTTGTGATTAGGATCAGCACAGTAGAAGCAAAGATTATGAGATATTCGACGTTGTTTCTCAGTAGGACTCAACTTCCCTTTGATGAGTTGGGGAGTACCAGAAATATCCATTGGGACCAGAGCAGTAGGTTCAGGAGCATGCCCCAAAGACTCAAGCTGGGATTCCTGAGTCTGGGACGGAAAAACAGTGGCGCGGCGACTTTCCTGATGACGCTCAAAGAGACGATTGTCACATCGAACAGCTTTATTGATGGTGTCCGACAGGTCCTTGGGATCCTCCATGGTGAGCAACAAATCCTTGACACCGTTGTTGAGGCCAAAACGAAATTGGTCAATCAGGGCCCGCTCATCCCAGTGAGTGTCCAAGGCAAGGAGTTGGAACTCTGCAGTGTAGATTGAGGCAGGACGAGACCCCTGAGAGAGATGTCTCATCTTTGTGGTAGCAGCCCGAACCCGATCTGTCTCGCCAAAACATGCTTCAAGCTTCTCTTTGAACAATTTAAGATCCATCAGCTCCGGAACCACGACCCCTTTCATGCTCTTCTCCAGAAGAGGAGAAAACCATGACAAAGCTGCACCTTCGAGCAACGTCCTAATCGCACCAATTTGAGACTTGGGAGTGGGGTACCGCCGATGTTGAAGTGCGAAGATCAGCTCCATCTGGTTCAGGAATCCGCGAAGCTCTGAATGCTTGCCTGAAAATTTCACCGGGAAACTCACCTTCGGTTCAGGAACTTTGCTGGATCCTTGAGCCGAAAGTGAAGCAAGCTCTTGCTACATGCGAAGAAGGGTCGCCTTCAGCTCGGTATTCTCAAATTGGATTTTTGCAAGGACTTCAGCAAAGAAATCAGGATGGCTTGGAGACTCCATCGGCAGAAAGAAAGAAAAAGGGGGAAAAAAGGCAATGGCAGTCAAACAATCAAAACGTGTTAAAGGAAAAAAAAATGAAAAAACACAATCTGAATCAAATTGTCAAGACCCCCAACAAGATCAAGACTGGAAAATGCAAAAGACAAAGAGAAAAGCTAGTGGAAACAAAGAAGAGGCCTTAGACTGGTGTTGATTCAGATTGTGGAGAAATGGAACAAGGCTAACCTATATATACTATAGGTACCACTCTTGGATCGAGGACGGCCTAAATATAGCTGAGGTCAAGGAGGGGCCACATCATCATCAAGAATGTGACTCAAGACTTAGGAATCGTAGAGGAAATCAGAGAGTCAGGAATAGGGAAGAGTCTCGAGAGTCAGGAATAGGGAAGTGTCTCGAGAATCAGGAATGTGGTCTGCAGGTCAGGAATCTAGCGAGATTCAGGAATTTGGTATGAATTGGGGAATTCCTAACAGGATGTTTGTCCAATCAAAGTTCTTGTTCATCGTTAGTCACCCAAAGAGATCAAGATTTTATATGCAAACGTCAAGAAGATGTTCGAAAAGGGTGTTATTCAAAAGTCATAGATTCCTTAGGCATGTGAACCTCATCTTGTGATGAAGACTGATGAGAGTATTTGTTTTTACATCGACTATCATTTGTTAAATGAAGTGATGATCCTGAATATGTACCCTCTTCCTCACACAGCTGATCTCTTGGATCGTCTAGGGAGAAGTCATTGGTTCATCAAGCTAGATCTTACTTTTGGGTACTAGCAAATACTGATAGCTAAAGAAGATATTCCTAAGACTGCTTTTTGTATATCATTTTAATTGTATGAGTTCTTGGTGATGCAATTTGGTTTGAATAATGCTCTAGTAACTTTTCAATAGATGATAGATAAGGTTTTTTGCGATATGTTGGAGGTGATTGTTGACTTCATTAATGATTTCCTGATCCACTCAAAGGGGATGTGAGAGGAACACGTCTATGATGTTTATAAAGTGCTAGATCAACTACGGGAAGTTGGTTTAAAGTTAAAGCAGTTGCAATGTGTGTTTGGGTTCAAAGACATAATTTATCTTGGGTATTGTATTTCTCATGAGGGTTTGCAAGTTTACCTTGACAAACTTGTGGCTGTTCTAAATTTCCCTACTCTGAAGTATATGAATAATGTGCAATGCTTCTTAAACATGTAATATCTCAATCGTTTTGTGGATCATCTTTTTGATTCCACTACACTATTGCAAGCATTGCTGAAGTCATCAATGTCAATTTTCATCTTGTTTATAGACTGTAATTGGGCATTCATGGATCTCAAGATTGGTGCACATTTACTTCCAGGACAATCACAGTTTATTAACAATGTAGTTGAGTCACAATATGGTCAACAGCAAAGCTATTCATGCCCTCAACAATTTGTGATTTACTGAAAAAATAGCAAAAAAAAAAAAAACCATTAGCCAAATTTTGTTTGTAAAATGAAGATTAAAACTTTCTAAATGTTAATCTACTTAAGCATTAAAGTAACAACATTAAGCTTGTTTTCACTGCTTCCTTGGTGGTAATGAATGCTTAGCCCAGTCTACTGACGGGATTGCAAAACCAAGCAATCCCATCAGTAGACCTCACAAATGAAAACTCTCACCATTGATGTGTAGAAAAATCCATCCTCGCTCATCCACCTCTTTTCAAGCGTGCTCCCGGTCATTTCGAGCGAGCGTAAAGAGCTTTGTTGAGCGTTCTGGGATCATCGACCCACTTGAGCAAGTAAGCTCCTCCTGGAGAGATACATGACTGTGAATCTCCCAAAGTAAAAAGAGAGAAATGCATGAAAAAAAGTGGTACTTTTGTGATCTCCATCTTTGTAAATGCAAACCTTGTCTCTGGGTGGAGTGAAAGTCGGGAAACCGTCCATTTGTACGAAACTGGTGCTGTGCAGTCACGTCCCCAACACTTTGATGCTGCTCGACACAAAGACTCTGCACTCTGTGTTGTGGATGCGGCTCAGTAACATCGAGATCGACTCTCCGGCCGAGAGCAGCAGCCACACAAGTACGTTCTCGCCCACTCACAGGTGGTGAGGAGGTCCGACTTTGGCAAGAACGACACTATATGGTTCAACGTCAACTCATCTCAGAAGCTTGCTGAGTCCCGGTTTTTTTTCCCCAGTTTCCTTACATTGCTTGTGGACCAGCTTGGACAGCAGCAATCACTTGTTAGTAGCCTTAAGAAATGCTCATATGCTTTCAGAGTGTGGGGAACTATATACGTGGGGAAAGAATCGCGACTACCAGCTCGGAATTCCTGGACTTAAGGATGAGCAACTAGATCCAGTTCCGGTACAATTTCCACAGGCTCTTCATGACAAAACTCCGGTAGAAGTGTTGCGTGTTTGTTGTGGAGCTAATCACGTACGATTGTCACGTGGCAGGCACTCAATACGTGGCAAGCACGAGAATCTGCCACATCCGCGACGCTTTCCCATGACGTGGCAATACATAAGGATTCTTCTTCTTCCCGGCGCGGCTGGATCGATCTCGAGGAGGTGTTGGGCGCTTCAGGTACGCTGACAGATCGACTGTCGATCGATCGCTTTCGCGAGTTCTGGGCGTGATTATTCCAGAACCAGGCGCAGCGGAAGCTGAGCAATGGCTACGCAGGTTTTATGTCGTGGCTCGCGAGCCGGAACGATGATGGCGATCCATCGGCGGTGCGCATTGGGACTTCGCGAGAATCTGGCAGGCAGGTCGAGTATCGGTTTTAGTTTTTTCCTTTTGATTCATTGATGAGTCTATGGCGCAGGGGATAATGTTGGTTCTTGTTTACGTCCAGATGATAGCTCCTGGTGATCTTCCTGACCAGCTCAGCACGGTTTTGCCCAGCACTGTTAAGCCGTGGACCAAACTTGCTCTTATTGTCCTCATGGAACGCTACAAAGGCCAGGCAAGTTTACTCTCAACATTTTCGTCTTCGCTTTGCTAAATCTTTCTCGTCAGTATGGGCACCATACATCTCGTGTCTTCCTCAACCAGCGGAGCTCGACAACACGGGTACTGGACTATCGAGTTTTTGTTTCTCAAAGTTTTCAAGTGCGTAGTTTCGTTGGGAGGACACCGAGCTAAGTTACTTGAGGGCGAGCCCTTTATACGGCAAGGCTCGTGAGCGGCTGGAAATGATAACAACTGAGTTTGGCCAAGTGCAAAACGTAAGTACTTCGGGTAGTTTTCTATTTTGCAAGCTTTCATTCACTTAGTTTTTTTACTGTTTTTTTCTTTTCCGAATGGTTTTATTCAAGGGGGAAATTTTTTACTTTGATGCTTGAAGGATTTTTGTACCTGTGTACTGGAGCAGGCACTTGATGTTTGGCCTCAACTATTCGGTAAAGTGTCTCTTGAAGACTTGAAGCATGTATACGCCACAGGTACAGGAAGCAAGCTTGTTTCTTGCTAGTTTTGTTCGTCCTGCCTTTGCTGCAGTTTTTTCTCGTTCACTAGCCATTGGAGAGGACTCGACATTAGTAATGCTATGTCTCTCTTTATTTCTGTTTACGTCCTTGTGTACATTATAACGCGGCGTTAGCAGATACCAATGCTCGATTTTTTCAACCACAACGCAACCAGCTTTGCGAAGCTCTAATTTAACGGGCTTCTCAACTACGCAGTTGTAAGATACGCCTGAAGTTCTTTCTTTTTCTTTTCCGTACCACAAGCAGGTTACAGAGGACAGAGACTATGCTGAAAACGATCAGGTAGAGGCAGTGGTCTTTGTTTTGTTTTCATGTTTCATTCGGCTTCGCAGATTTGGATAAACTATGGTGATCTTTCAAACGCAGAGCTTGCACTTGATTATGGCTTCACTGTGCCTTCACTGAAAATCCGTATGACGAGGTAGGTAATGAGCGTGCTAAGAGGTGTGGTGCTGAATCACTTTTCACAAACCGCAGACTGATCTATTGACGCAATTCCCGGAAATGAACACGATAATTGAAGATCAACTCGGCGGAAACACGCTGTAAAACACATTCCTTTTTCTTTGAAGAGACACATTGTTTGTGCTTCTCAGGGGTCAAAAACCACTTCAAGGTTCTCCTGTGTGCCTGGAAGTAGCACGGCGAATCGAGACGCATGAAAAATCAATCCTGGTTGGGCCCTTCTCTCGAGCTTGTATCGTTTTAACACCTTCTGGCAGGAACTAAATCAACACTCATGGAGGTCGAGAAGTAGACAGCTTCTAGCTGCCGCGTCCTAGATGGTGAGCTGACGTGAAGCATTTCGGCTGGATGGCACACGCCAGGCATAACTTTGGGAGACAAGATCTTTTTCTGGTTTTGTGAAGGCCTTGTTTTTCTCCAGGAAAGCACAGCGTTGCTTGATGTAAGCCGTGGAATATAAATCGGTAAGCGCGTGCATGCGTCGGATGAGGCGGTTGGAAAACGACGGGAGGAGCGAGTGCCGTATAAGATCGCCGCCCCCGGCTGCCATGCTGATCTCTCCTGCTAACGCTGCTTTTTCCTTCTGGCTTTTCTTCAAGTTCTAAACAGCGAGCAATAGCATGATCAGCTTTCCTGATTGCAGGCTCAATCCAGACGAAAGGATGAAGTTTCTAAGTCGTATTGGTAGGTTTCTAGAGCTGTTGGTCTATTGGATTGTGCATCATCTTCGACGCTTCAAATTTCCAAATTAAAGCATTATTTCCATAGCTTATATAAAATGCCATTGCCTTTTTGGGTTAGGTATACTTTCCAGAACAGGAAGAGAGCATTAAAGGCGAGCAAGTGAAATATGTTTGAGGTGGACAAGGTCGTGCGTATGCGGGAAATGGTAGCTAGCGATCATGGATTGCAAGCTTTTACTGATGGATCTTTCAAGCGCGGAGTTTTCGGAGGTTATAGAGTGTTTATCCCGAGAGTTTCTATGCGACTCGCTTGTGGAAGAAGGGCAAATGACAACTTACATACAAGCTCCACTATCATGTTTGAGCTGTTGGGTTTGATGCGAGCACTCGAAATCTGTTTGGAGATGGAATGGCGCTGGGGATTGTGGGAGCCAGTCTTTGTATACACGGACAGTTATAACTCTTTGACGCTGCTGGAGATGTATGTGCAAGATCCAATAGCCCTGGGTTGCCACCCAAATGCAGATATCATCCAGACGATAGTTTGGCTTGCAGGAACATCACTTGTTCCAGTTCATTTTTGTAAGGTGAAGGGGCACTACAACATTGCTGGAAATCAGGTTGCAGATGAGTTAGCTAAGATTGGTGCACATTTACTTCCAGGACAATCACAGTTTATTAACACTGTAGTTGAGTCACAATATGGTCAACAGCAAAGCTATTCACGCCCTCAACAATTTGCGATTTACTGACAAAAATAGCAAAAAAAAGAAAAAACCCATTAGCCAAATTTTGTTTGTAAAATGAAGATTAAAACTTTCTAAATATTAATCTACTTAAGCATTAAAGTAACAACATTAAGCTTGTTCCTTGGTGGTAATTAATGCTTAGCCCAGTCTACTGACAGGATTGCAAAACCAAGCAATCCCATCAGTAGACCTCACAAATGAAAACTCTCACCATTGATGTGTAGAAAAATCCATCCTCGCTCATCCACCTCTTTTCAAGCGTGCTCCCAGTCATTTCGAGCGAGCATAAAGAGCCTTGTTGAGCATTCTGGGATCATCGACCCACTTGAGCAAGCTAGCTCCTCCTGGAGAGATACATGACTGTGAATCTGCCAAAGTAAAAAGAGACAAATGCATGAACAAAAGTGGTACTTTTGTGATCTCCATCTTTGTAAATGCAAACCTTGTCTCTGGGTGGAGTGAAAGTCAGGAAACCGTCCATTTGTACGAAACTGGTGTTGTGCAGTCACGTCCCCAACAGTTTGATGCTGCTCAACACAAAGACTCTGCGCTCTGTGTTGTGGATGCGGCTCAGTAACATCGAGATCGACTCTCCGGCCAAGAGCAGCAGCCACACAAGTACGTTCTTGCCCACTCACAGGTGGTGAGGAGGTCCGACTTTGGCAAGAACAACACCATATGGTTCAACGTCAACTCATCTCGGAAGCATGCTGCATCCCAGTTTTTTTTCCCCAGTTTCCTTACATTGCTTGTGGACCAGCTTGGACAGCAGCAATCACTTGTTAGTAGCCTTAAGAAATGCTCATATGCTTTCAGAGTGTGGGGAACTATATACGTGGGGAAAGAATCGCAACTACCAGCTCGGAATTCCTGGACTTAAGGATGAGCAACTAGATCCAGTTCCGGTACAATTTCCACAGGCTCTTCATGACAAAACTCCGGTAGAAGTGTTGGGTGTTTGTTGTGGAGCTAATCACGGGGTTTGTAGCTCATACGATTGCCACGTGGCAGGCACTCAATACGTGGCAAGCACGAGAATCTGCCACATCAGCGACGCTTTCCCATGACGTGGCAATACATATGTTTTGGTTTTGGAGAGGAGAAATGTGGGCCGCCCAGGATTCTTCTTCTTCCCGGCGCGGCTGGATCGATCTCGAGGAGCTGTTGGGCGCTTCAGGTACGCTGACAGATCGACTGTCGATCGATCGCTTTCGCGAGTTCTGGGCTTGATTATTCCAGAACCAGGCGCCGCGGAAGCTGAGCAATGGCTACGCAGGTTTTATGTCGTGGCTCGCGAGCCGGAACGATGATGGCGATCCATCGGCGGTGCGCATTGGGACTTCGCGAGAATCTGGCGGGCAGGTCGAGTATCGGTTTTTAGTTTTTTCCTTTTGATTCATTGATGAGTCTATGGCGCAGGGGATAATGTTGGTTCTTGTTTACGTCCAGATGATAGCTCCTAGCGATCTTCCTGACCAGCTCAGCACGGTTTTGCCCAGCACTGTTAAGCCGTGGACCAAACTTGCTCTTATTGTCCTCATGGAACGCTACAAAGGCCAGGCAAGTTTACTCTCAACATTTTCGTCTTCGCTTTGCTAAATCTTTCTCGTCAGTATGGGCACCATACATCTCGTGTCTTCCTCAACCAGCGGAGCTCGACAACACGGGTACTGGACTATCGAGTTTTTGTTTCTCAAAGTTTTCAAGTGCGTAGTTTCGTTGGGAGGACACCGAGCTAAGTTACTTGAGGGCGAGCCCTTTATACGGCAAGGCTCGTGAGCGGCTGGAAATGATAACAACTGAGTTTGGCCAAGTGCAAAACGTAAGTACTTCGGGTAGTTTTCTATTTTGCAAGCTTTCATTCACTTAGTTTTTTTACTGTTTTTTTCTTTTCCGAATGGTTTTATTCAAGGGGGAAATTTTTTACTTTGATGCTTGAAGGATTTTTGTACCTGTGTACTGGAGCAGGCACTTGATGTTTGGCCTCAACTATTCGGTAAAGTGTCTCTTGAAGACTTGAAGCATGTATACGCCACAGGTACAGGAAGCAAGCTTGTTTCTTGCTAGTTTTGTTCGTCCTTCCTTTGCTGCAGTTTTTTCTCGTTCACTAGCCATTGGAGAGGACTCGACATTAGTAATGGTATGTCTCCCTTTAATTCTGTTTACGTCCTTGTGTACATTATAACGCGGCGTTAGCAGATACCAATGCTCGATTTTTTCAACCACAACGCAACCAGCTTTGCGAAGCTCTCATTTAACGGGCTTCTCAACTACGCAGTTGTAAGATACGCCTGAAGTTCTTTCTTTTTCCTTTCCGTACCACAAGCAGGTTACAGCGGACAGAGACTATGCTGAAAACGATCAGGTAGAGGCAGTGGTCTTTGTTTTGTTTTCATGTTTCATTCGGCTTCGCAGATTTGGATAAACTATGGTGATCTTTCAAACGCAGAGCTTGCACTTGATTATGGCTTCACTGTGCCTGAAAATCCGTATGACGAGGTAATGAGCGTGCTAAGAGGTGTGGTGCTGAATCACTTTTCACAAACCGCAGACTGAGCTATTGACGCAATTCCCGGAAATGAACACGATAATTAAAGATCAACTTGGCGGAAACACGCTGTAAAACACATTCCTTTTTCTTTGAAGAGACACATTGTTTGTGCTTCTCAGGGGTCAAAAACCACTTCAAGGTTCTCCTGTGTGCCTGGAAGTAGCACGGCGAATCGAGACGCATGAAAAATCAATCCTGGTTGGGCCCTTCTCTCGAGCTTGTATCGTTTTAACACCGTCTGGCAGGAACTAAATCAACACTCATGGAGGTCGAGAAGTAGACAGCTTCTAGCTGCCGCGTCCTAGATGGTGAGCTGACGTGAAGCATTTCGGCTGGATGGCACACGCCAGGCATAACTTTGGGAGACAAGATCTTTTTCTGGTTTTGTGAAGGCCTTGTTTTTCTCCAGGAAAGCACAGCGTTGCTTGGTGTAAGCCGTGGAATATAAATCGGTAAGCGCGTGCATGCGTCGGATGAGGCGGTTGGAAAACGACGGGAGGAGCGACTGCCATATAAGATCGCCGCCCCCGGCTGCCATGCTGATCTCTCCTGCTAACGCTGCTTTTTTCCTTCTTACTTTTCTTCAAGTTCTAAACAGCAAGCGATAGTGTGATCAGCTTTCCTGATTGCAGGCTCGATCCAGATGAAAGGATGAAGTTTCTAAGTCGTATTGGCAGGTTTCTAGAGCTGTTGGTCTATCGGATCGTGCATCATCTTCGTCCTCAGGGACGCTTCGAATTTCCAAATTAAAGCATTATTTCCATAGCTTATATAAAATGCCATTGCCTTTTTGGGTTAGGTATACTTTCCAGAACAGGAAGAGAGCAACAAGTGAAATATGTTTGAGGTGGACAAAGTCGTGCGTACGCGAGAAATGGTAGCCAGCGATCATGGATTGCAGGCTTTTACTGACGGATCCTTCAAACGCGGAGTTTTCGGAGGTTATGGAGTGTTTATCCCGAGAGTTTCCATGCGACTCGCTTGTGGAAGAAGGGCAAACGACAACTTACATACAAGCTCCATTATCACGTTTGAGTTGTTAGGTTTGATGCGAGCCCTCGAAATCTGCTTGGAGATGGAATGGCGCTGGGGATTGTGGGAGCCAATCTTTGTATACACCGACAGTTATGACTCCTTGACGCTGCTGGAGATGTATGTGCAAGATCCAATAGCCCTGGGTCGCCACCCAAATGCAGATATCATCCAGACGATAGTTTGGCTTGCAGGAACATCACTTGTTCCAGTTCATTTTTGTAAGGTGAAGGGGCATTACGACATCGCTGAAAATCAGGTTGCAGATGAGTTAGCTAAGATTGGTGCACATTTACTTCCAGGACAATCACAGTTTATTAACACTGTAGTTGAGTCACAATATGGTCAACAGCAAAGCTATTCATGCCCTCAACAATTTGCGATTTACTGAAAAAAAAAAGCAAAAAAAAAAAACCATTAGCCAAATTTAGTTTGTAAAATGAAGATTAAAACTTTCTAAATGTAAATTTTCTTGAGCATTGCTTCCTTGGTGGTAATTAATGCTTAGCCCTTTAAATTTTAAACCACAAACTCTAACCACCTTTGAATGTAGCTGGACTTTCCTAGGGCAATGCTGGCATCAATGCATTATAGCACAGCTCTGTCGAGGTTTCCAGGCAATGATTTTGGGTGGCGGGGTGGTGTATTAGCTCAGCCTTGCATTCTGTTGTCTGCCATCGTTTGTAGCACTTTTTCCAGCTCAGATCAATCGATCAAAGCAGCAGTGTCGACGTACACATCTTGCTGCCTAAAACTCTCAAGGAAAAGTTGCTCAATGACACCTCCTTCACTCACTACTTTAGTGACAAAAGAGACCTCTAGCTGGTTGTGCAGGAACAAGTGTGAAAATGTGAATAAGATCTTCGTAACCAAACACTTTGGATTCCTGAGAGAAGAAAACTAACATTATTGAACTTATGGAGTTTGCCTCCAGAAAATTTTCAAGATTGCCGTGCACGTTTCTGCTTGATACGTGGAGCAAGTTAGTATTCATTGTTGAATCTCCGTGTTGATCAAGGATGTTGATCAAGGAATCAGCACACATAAGGCTTGAGATATACTTGTGGAGAAGTATACTCTACCTCAGGATACAAAGCAGTGGCTTCAATATCATCCGGAGCCAACTCGAAGCACATAGCTCCATTGTAAAAAACGTGATAGATGCGCGTCCACACCTCTCTGAGCTGCAATGGAGTTTGAGCATCTGCAAAACCAAACAATCCCGTCAGTAGACCTCGCAAATGAAAGCTCTCACCGTTGATGTGTAGAAGAACCTCCTCCTCACTCATCCACCTCTTTTCAAGGGTGCTGCCGGTCATTTCTTCCCACAATGCTACTTGCTCGTTCATTGTCAAGGCGTTTCCGGGAGGGCGAACGTAAAGAGCCTTGTTGAGTGTTCTGGGATCATCGACCGACTTGAGCAAGTAAGTTGCGAGGTCCTCCTCGGAGATATACATGACTGTGAATCCGCCAAAGTAAAAAGAGACAAATGCATGATCTAGAAACAACAAAACTGGTACCTTTGTGATCTCCATCTTTGTAAATGCAAACCTTGTCTCTGGGTGGAGTGAAAGTCGGGAAACCGTCCATTTGTACGAAACTGGCGAGCATGAGCCCCATGATACAGTTCGCCATGAAAAACGTATGAGGAATTCCTGCTGCTTCGATGGCTCTCCGGATAGCTACCTTGTCCCTATACATGGGGCTCTCGGGAATGGACTGGTCCTTGCAGATCCTATCCGCGTCCATCCCAAACTCGGAGGGGTAGAACTTCTGGAGAAGACAACTGTGTAAGTCGGGATTCACTTGAAAACCGTAAACTTCACCTTGATGTTTCCAGCTTCTTTCACGGCTCTGATGAGATCGTACTGGAGCTTTAGTTGATCTTCCCCAAGAGCGCAGATCACAACATCGACTTGCTGTAATATTCGCACAAGATCCTCTCGGTCTTCCAGAAAGCACTGGTTTCCAAAAAGCAGAAATGTAAGTGAACCAACACCAAGTAACTGATGATAGCTAGTACGGTGTAAATCGTTGCTCCGGCTTTTCTTAGCCCAACCAGGAACCGGACTTTATCAACATGTTTTGACACCTGAAACTCACCCCAGAGATCAAAGAAGAAATATAGATAGCTTGAAAGTACCTGTGGACGAACTAGTATACTAGTTGGATGACCCGATTGAATACTAGCAGTAGCGATGTACTTGCCGATGTATCCCGTAGCTCCAACGATCAGAATCCTGCTCTTGGGCTCCATACTCACTCAAAATCAAAACCAAATGGAAGAATCATCACAGTGTAAGCCTTCTTCATAGTGGAGCTGACATCCAGGATTATCACCTTACCATCGCGTCTTTGTTTACGAATTCCAATGTTACAAGCTCTGTGTTACCTGAGCTGGTTTGGGTCTCGAAACAATACAAACCCCGTGATTAGCTCCACAAGAAACACCCAACACTTCTACTGGAGTTTTCTCATGAAGAGCCTGTGGAAATTGTACCAAAACGGGATCTAGTTGCTCATCCTTAAGTCCAGGAATTCCGAGCTGGTAGTCGCGATTCTTTCCCCACGTATATAGATCCCCATTCTCTGAAAGCATATGAGCATTTCTTGCAAGAAAAAAAGAAAACGCGTCCTAGATGGTGAGCTGAGAGTTTTAAAGAGCGTGAAGCATTTCGGCTGGATGGCACACGCCAGGCATAACTTTGGGAGACAAGATCTTTTTCTGGTTTTGTGAAGGCCTTGTTTTTCTCCAGGAAAGCACAGCGTTGCTTGATGTAAGGCGTGGAATATAAATCGGTAAGCGCGTGCATGCGTCGGATGAGGTGGTTGGAAAACGACGGGAGGAGCGACTGCCGTATAAGATTGCCACCCCCGGCTCCCATGCTGATCTCTCCTGCTAACGCTGCTTTTTCCTTCTGGCTTTTCTTCAAGTTCTAAACAGCGAGCGATAGCGTGATCAGCTTTCCTGATTGCAGGCTCGATCCAGACGAAAGGATGAAGTTTCTAAGTCATATTGGTAGGTTTCTAGAGCTGTTGGTCTATCGGATCGTGCATCATCTTCGTCCTCAGGGACGCTTCGAATTTCCAAATTAAAGCATTATTTCCATAGCTTATATAAAATGCCATTGCCTTTTTGGGTCAGGTATACTTTCCAGAACAGGAAGAGAGCATTAAAGGCGAGCAAGTGAAATATGTTTGAGGTGGACAAAGTCGTGCGTACGCGGGAAATGGTAGCTAGCGATCATGGATTGCAAGCTTTTACTGACGGATCTTTCAAGCGCGGAGTTTTCGGAGGTTATGGAGTGTTTATCCCGAGAGTTTCCATGCGACTCGCTTGTGGAAGAAGGGCAAACGACAACTTACATACAAGCTCCACTATCACGTTTGAGCTGTTAGGTTTGATGCGAGCACTTGAAATCTGTTTGGAGATGGAATGGCACTGGGGATTGTGGGAGCCAGTCTTTGTATACACTGACAGTTATGACTCCTTGATGCTGCTGGAGATGTATGTGCAAGATCCAATAGCCCTGGGTCGCCACCCAAATGCAAATATCATCCAGACGATAGTTTGGCTTGCAGGAACATCATTTGTTCCAGTTCATTTTTGTAAGGTGAAGGGGCACTACGACATTGCTGGAAATCAGGTTGCAGATGAGTTAGCTAAGATTGGTGCACATTTACTTCCAGGACAATCACAGTTTATTAACACTGTAGTTGAGTCACAATATGGTCAACAGCAAAGCTATTCACGCCCTCAACAATTTGCGATTTACTGAAAAAAATAGCAAAAAAAAAAAAAACCCATTAGCCAAATTTTGTTTGTAAAATGAAGATTAAAACTTTCTAAATATTAATCTACTTAAGCATTAAAGTAACAACATTAAGCTTGTTCCTTGGTGGTAATTAATGCTTAGCCCAGTCTACTGACGGGATTGCAAAACCAAGCAATCCCATCAGTAGACCTCACAAATGAAAACTCTCACCATTGATGTGTGGAAAAATCCATCCTCGCTCATCCACCTCTTTTCAAGTGTGCTCCCGGTCATTTCGAGCGAGCGTAAAGAGCCTTGTTGAGCGTTCTGGGATCATCGACCCACTTGAGCAAGCTAGCTCCTCCTGGAGAGATACATGACTGTGAATCTGCCAAAGTAAAAAGAGACAAATGCATGAACAAAAGTGGTACTTTTGTGATCTCCATCTTTGTAAATGCAAACCTTGTCTCTGGGTGGAGTGAAAGTCAGGAAACCGTCCATTTGTACGAAACTGGTGCTGTGCAGTCACGTCCCCAACACTTTGATGCTGCTCAACACAAAGACTCTGCGCTCTGTGTTGTGGATGCGGCTCAGTAACATCGAGATCGACTCTCCGGCCAAGAGCAGCAGCCACACAAGTACGTTCTTGCCCACTCACAGGTGGTGAGGAGGTCCGACTTTGGCAAGAACGACACCATATGGTTCAACGTCAACTCATCTCGGAAGCGTGCTGTGTCCCGGTTTTTTTTCCCCAGTTTCCTTACATTGCTTGTGGACCAGCTTGGACAGCAGCAATCACTTGTTAGTACCCTTAAGAAATGCTCATATGCTTTCAGAGTGTGGGGAACTATATACGTGGGGAAAGAATCGCGACTACCAGCTCGGAATTCCTGGACTTAAGGATGAGCAACTAGATCCAGTTCCGGTACAATTTCCACAGGCTCTTCATGACAAAACTCCGGTAGAAGTGTTGGGTGTTTCTTGTGGAGCTAATCACGGGGTTTGTAGCGCATACAACTGCCACGTGGCAGGCACTCAATACGTGGCAGCACGAGAATCTGCCACATCAGCGACGCTTTCCCATGACGTGGCAATACATATGTTTTGGTTTTGGAGAGGAGAAATGTGGGCCGCCCAGGATTCTTCTTCTTCCCGGCGCGGCTGGATCGATCTCGAGGAGCTGTTGGGCGCTTCAGGTACGCTGACAGATCGACTGTCGATCGATCGTTTTCGCGAGTTCTGGGCTTGATTATTCCAGAACCAGGCGCAGCGGAAGCTGAGCAATTGCTACGCAGGTTTTATGTCGTGGCTCGCGAGCCGGAACGATGATGGCGATCCATCGGCGGTGCGCATTGGGACTTCGCGAGAATCTGGCGGGCAGGTCGAGTATCGGTTTTTAGTTTTTTCCTTTTGATTCATTGATGAGTCTATGGCGCAGGGGATAATGTTGGTTCTTGTTTACGTCCAGATGATAGCTCCTAGTGATCTTCCTGACCAGCTCAGCACGGTTTTGCCCAGCACTGTTAAGCCGTGGACCAAACTTGCTCTTATTGTCCTCATGGAACGCTACAAAGGCCAGGCAAGTTTACTCTCAACATTTTCGTCTTCGCTTTGCTAAATCTTTCTCGTCAGTATGGGCACCATACATCTCGTGTCTTCCTCAACCAGCGGAGCTCGACAACACGGGTACTGGACTATCGAGTTTTTGTTTCTCAAAGTTTTCAAGTGCGTAGTTTCGTTGGGAGGACACCGAGCTAAGTTACTTGAGGGCGAGCCCTTTATACGGCAAGGCTCGTGAGCGGCTGGAAATGATAACAACTGAGTTTGGCCAAGTGCAAAACGTAAGTACTTCGGGTAGTTTTCTATTTTGCAAGCTTTCATTCACTTAGTTTTTTTACTGTTTTTTTCTTTTCCGAATGGTTTTATTCAAGGGGGAAATTTTTTACTTTGATGCTTGAAGGATTTTTGTACCTGTGTACTGGAGCAGGCACTTGATGTTTGGCCTCAACTATTCGGTAAAGTGTCTCTTGAAGACTTGAAGCATGTATACGCCACAGGTACAGGAAGCAAGCTTGTTTCTTGCTAGTTTTGTTCGTCCTTCCTTTGCTGCAGTTTTTTCTCGTTCACTAGCCATTGGAGAGGACTCGACATTAGTAATGGTATGTCTCCCTTTAATTCTGTTTACGTCCTTGTGTACATTATAACGCGGCGTTAGCAGATACCAATGCTCGATTTTTTCAACCACAACGCAACCAGCTTTGCGAAGCTCTCATTTAACGGGCTTCTCAACTACGCAGTTGTAAGATACGCCTGAAGTTCTTTCTTTTTCCTTTCCGTACCACAAGCAGGTTACAGCGGACAGAGACTATGCTGAAAACGATCAGGTAGAGGCAGTGGTCTTTGTTTTGTTTTCATGTTTCATTCGGCTTCGCAGATTTGGATAAACTATGGTGATCTTTCAAACGCAGAGCTTGCACTTGATTATGGCTTCACTGTGCCTGAAAATCCGTATGACGAGGTAATGAGCGTGCTAAGAGGTGTGGTGCTGAATCACTTTTCACAAACCGCAGACTGAGCTATTGACGCAATTCCCGGAAATGAACACGATAATTAAAGATCAACTTGGCGGAAACACGCTGTAAAACACATTCCTTTTTCTTTGAAGAGACACATTGTTTGTGCTTCTCAGGGGTCAAAAACCACTTCAAGGTTCTCCTGTGTGCCTGGAAGTAGCACGGCGAATCGAGACGCATGAAAAATCAATCCTGGTTGGGCCCTAACACCGTCTGGCAGGAACTAAATCAACACTCATGGAGGTCGAGAAGTAGACAACTTCTAGCTGCCGCGTCCTAGATGGTGAGCTGAGAGTTTTAAAGAGCGTGAAGCATTTCGGCTGAATGGCACATGCCAGGCATAACTTTGGGAGACAAGATCTTTTTCTGGTTTTGTGAAGGCCTTGTTTTTCTCCAGGAAAGCACAGCGTTGCTTGGTGTAAGCCGTGGAATATAAATCGGTAAGCGCGTGCATGCGTCGGATGAGGCGGTTGGAAAACGACGGGAGGAGCAACTGCCGTATAAGATCGCCGCCCCCGGCTGCCATGCTGATCTCTCCTGCTAACGCTGCTTTTTCCTTCTGGCTTTTCTTCAAGTTCTAAACAGCGAGCGATAGCGTGACCAGCTTTCCTGATTGCAGGCTCGATCCAGACGAAAGGTTGAAGTTTCTAAGTCGTATTGGCAGGTTTCTAGGGCTGTTGGTCTATCGGAACGTGCATCATCTTCGTCCTCAGGGACGCTTCGAATTTCCAAATTAAAGCATTATTTCCATAGCTTATATAAAATGCGATTGCCTTTTTGGGTTAGGTATACTTTCCAGAACAGGAAGAGAGCATTAAAGGCAAGCAAGTGAAATATGTTTGAGGTGGACAAGGTCGTGCGTACTCAAGAAATGGTAGCCAGCGATCATGGATTGCAGGCTTTTACTGACGGATCCTTCAAACGCGGGGTTTTCGGAGGTTATGGAGTGTTTATCCCGAGAGTTTCCATGCGACTCGCTTGTGGAAGAAGGGCAAACGACAACTTACATACAAGCTCCACTATCACGTTTGAGCTGTTGGGTTTGATGCGAGCCCTCGAAATCTGTTTAGAGATGGAATGGCGCTGGGGATTGTGGGAGCCAGTCTTTGTATACACCGACAGTTATGACTCCTTGACACTGCTGGAGATGTATGTGCAAGATCCAATAGCCCTGGGTCGCCACCCAAATGCAGATATCATCCAGACGATAGTTTGGCTTGCAGGAACATCACTTGTTCCAGTTCATTTTTGTAAGGTGAAGGGGCATTACGACATCGCTGGAAATCAGGTTGCAGATGAGTTAGCTAAGATTGGTGCACATTTACTTCCAGGACAATCACAGTTTATTAACACTGTAGTTGAGTCACAATATGGTCAGCAGCAAAGCTATTCACGCCCTCAACAATTTGTGATTTACTGAAAAACAAAAAGCAAAAAAAAAAACCATTAGCCAAATTTTGTTTGTAAAATGAAGATTAAAACTTTCTAAATGCTAATTTTCTTGAGCATTGCTTCCTTGGTGGTAAGTAATGCTTAGCTTTTTAAATTTTAGACCACAAGCTCTACGTAGCTGGACTTTCCTGGGGCAATGCTGGCATCAATGCATTATAGCACAGCTCTGTGGAGGTTTCCAGGCAATGATTTTGGGTGGCGGGGTGGTGCATTAGCTCAGTCTTGCATTCTCTTGTCTGCCATCGTTTGTAGCACTTTTTCCAGCTCAGATCAATCGATCAAAGCAGCAGTGTCGACGTACACATCTTGCTGCCTAAAACTCTCAAGGAAAAGTTGCTCAATGACACCTCCTTCACTCACTACTTTAGTGACAAAAGAGACCTCTAGCTGGTTGTGCAGGAACAAGTGTGAAAATGTGAATAAGATCTTCGTAACCAAACACTTTGGATTCCTGAGAGAAGAAAACTAACATTATTGAACTTATGGAGTTTGCCTCCAGAACATTTTCAAGATTGCCGTGCACGTTTCTGCTTGATACGTGGAGCAAGTTAGTATTCATTGTTGAAGCTCCGTGTTGATCAAGGATGTTGATCAAGGAATCAGCACACATAAGGCTTGAGATATACTTGTGGAGAAGTATACTCTACCTCAGGATACAAAGCAGTGGCTTCAATATCATCCGGAGCCAACTCGAAGCACATAGCTCCATTGTAAAAAACGTGATAGATGCGCGTCCACACCTCTCTGAGCTGCAATGGAGTTTGAGCATCTGCAAAACCAAACAATCCCGTCAGTAGACCTCGCAAATGAAAGCTCTCACCGTTGATGTGTAGAAGAACCTCCTCCTCACTCATCCACCTCTTTTCAAGGGTGCTGCCGGTCATTTCTTCCCACAATGCTACTTGCTCGTTCATTGTCAAGGCGTTTCCGGGAGGGCGAACGTAAAGAGCCTTGTTGAGTGTTCTGGGATCATCGACCGACTTGAGCAAGTAAGTTGCGAGGTCCTCCTCGGAGATATACATGACTGTGAATCCGCCAAAGTAAAAAGAGACAAATGCATGATCTAGAAACAACAAAACTGGTACCTTTGTGATCTCCATCTTTGTAAATGCAAACCTTGTCTCTGGGTGGAGTGAAAGTCGGGAAACCGTCCATTTGTACGAAACTGGCGAGCATGAGCCCCATGATACAGTTCGCCATGAAAAACGTATGAGGAATTCCTGCTGCTTCGATGGCTCTCCGGATAGCTACCTTGTCCCTATACATGGGGCTCTCGGGAATGGACTGGTCCTTGCAGATCCTATCCGCGTCCATCCCAAACTCGGAGGGGTAGAACTTCTGGAGAAGACAACTGTGTAAGTCGGGATTCACTTGAAAACCGTAAACTTCACCTTGATGTTTCCAGCTTCTTTCACGGCTCTGATGAGATCGTACTGGAGCTTTAGTTGATCTTCCCCAAGAGCGCAGATCACAACATCGACTTGCTGTAATATTCGCACAAGATCCTCTCGGTCTTCCAGAAAGCACTGGTTTCCAAAAAGCAGAAATGTAAGTGAACCAACACCAAGTAACTGATGATAGCTAGTACGGTGTAAATCGTTGCTCCGGCTTTTCTTAGCCCAACCAGGAACCGGACTTTATCAACATGTTTTGACACCTGAAACTCACCCCAGAGATCAAAGAAGAAATATAGATAGCTTGAAAGTACCTGTGGACGAACTAGTATACTAGTTGGATGACCCGATTGAATACTAGCAGTAGCGATGTACTTGCCGATGTATCCCGTAGCTCCAACGATCAGAATCCTGCTCTTGGGCTCCATACTCACTCAAAATCAAAACCAAATGGAAGAATCATCACAGTGTAAGCCTTCTTCATAGTGGAGCTGACATCCAGGATTATCACCTTACCATCGCGTCTTTGTTTACGAATTCCAATGTTACAAGCTCTGTGTTACCTGAGCTGGTTTGGGTCTCGAAACAATACAAACCCCGTGATTAGCTCCACAAGAAACACCCAACACTTCTACCGGAGTTTTCTCATGAAGAGCCTGTGGAAATTGTACCAAAACGGGATCTAGTTGCTCATCCTTAAGTCCAGGAATTCCGAGCTGGTAGTCGCGATTCTTTCCCCACGTATATAGATCCCCATTCTCTGAAAGCATATGAGCATTTCTTGCAAGAAAAAAAGAAAACGCGTCCTAGATGGTGAGCTGAGAGTTTTAAAGAGCGTGAAGCATTTCGGCTGGATGGCACACGCCAGGCATAACTTTGGGAGACAAGATCTTTTTCTGGTTTTGTGAAGGCCTTGTTTTTCTCCAGGAAAGCACAGCGTTGCTTGGTGTAAGCCGTGGAATATAAATCGGTAAGCGCGTGCATGCGTCGGATGAGGCGGTTGGAAAACGACAGGAGGAGCGACTGCCATATAAGATCGCCGCCCCCGGCTGCCATGCTGATCTCTCCTGCTAACGCTGCTTTTTTCCTTCTGGCTTTTCTTCAAGTTCTAAACAGCAAGCGATAGTGTGATCAGCTTTCCTGATTGCAGGCTCGATCCAGACGAAAGGATGAAGTTTCTAAGTCGCATTGGCAGGTTTCTAGAGCTGTTGGTCTATCGGATCGTGCATCATCTTCGTCCTCAGGGACACTTCGAATTTCCAAATTAAAACATTATTTCCATAGCTTATATAAAATGCGATTGCCTTTTTGGGTTAGGTATACTTTTCAGAACAGGAAGAGAGCATTAAAGGCGAGCAAGTGAAATATGTTTGAGGTGGACAAGGTCATGCGTACGTGGGAAATGGTAGCTAGCGATCATGGATTACAAGCTTTTACTGATGGATCTTTCAAGCGCAGAGTTTTCGGAGGTTATGGAGTGTTTATCTCGAGAGTTTCTATGCGACTCGCTTGTGGAAGAAGGGCAAACGACAACTTACATACAAGTTCCTCCACTATCACGTTTGAGCTGTTGGGTTTGATGCGAGCCCTTGAAATTTGTTTGGAGATGGAATGGCACTGGGGATTGTGGGAGCCAGTCTTTGTATACACCGACAGTTATGACTCCTTGACGCTGCTGGAGATGTATGTGCAAGATCCAATAGCCCTGGGTCACCACCCAAATGCAGATATCATCCAGACGATTGTTTGGCTTGCAGGAACATCATTTGTTCCAGTTCATTTTTGTAAGGTGAAGGGGCACTATGACATCGTTGGAAATCAGGTTGCGGATGAGTTAGCTAAGATTGGTGCACATTTACTTCCAGGACAATCACAGTTTATTAACACTGTAGTTGAGTCACAATATGGTCAACAGCAAAGCTATTCATGCCTTCAACAATTTGCAATTTACTGAAAAAAATAGCAAAAAAAAAAAAAAAAACCCATTAGCCAAATTTTGTTTGTAAAATGAAGATTAAAACTTTCTAAATATTAGTCTACTTAAGCATTAAAGTAACAACATTAAGCTTGTTTACACTGCTTCCTTGGTAATTAATACTTAGCCCAGTCTACTGACGGGATTGCAAAACCAAGCAATCCCATCAGTAGACCTCACAAATGAAAACTCTCACCATTGATGTGTAGAAGAATCCATCCTCGCTCATCCACCTCTTTTCAAGCGTGCTCCCGGTCATTCGAGCGAGCGTAAAGAGCCTTGTTGAGCGTTCTGGGATCATCGACCGACTTGAGCAAGCTAGCTCCTCCTGGAGAGATACATGACTGTGAATCTGCCAAAGTAAAAAGAGACAAATGCATGAACAAAAGTGGTACTTTTGTGATCTCCATCTTTGTAAATGCAAACCTTGTCTCTGGGTGGAGTGAAAGTCGGGAAACCGTCCATTTGTACGAAACTGGTGCTGTGCAGTCACGTCCCCAACACTTTGATGCTGCTCGACACAAAGACTCTGCGCTCTGTGTTGTGGATGCGGCTCAGTAACATCGAGATTGACTCTCCGGCCGAGAGCAGCAGCCACACAAGTACGTTCTTGCCCACTCACAGGTGGTGAGGAGGTCCGACTTTGGCAAGAACGACACCATATGGTTCAACATCAACTCATCTCGGAAGCTTGCTGCGTCGCGGTTTTTTTTCCCCAGTTTCCTTACATTGCTTGTCGACCAGCTTGGACAGCAGCAATCACTTGTTAGTAGCCTTAAGAAATGCTCATATGCTTTCAGAGTGTGGGGAACTATATACGTGGGGAAAGAATCGCGACTACCAGCTCGGAATTCCTGGACTTAAGGATGAGCAACTAGATCCAGTTCCGGTACAATTTCCACAGGCTCTTCATGACAAAACTCCGGTAGAAGTGTTGGGTGTTTGTTGTGGAGCTAATCACGGGGTTTGTAGCTCATACGATTGCCACGTGGCAGGCACTCAATACGTGGCAAGCACGAGAATCTGCCACATCAGCGACGCTTTCCCATGACGTGGCAATACATATGTTTTGGTTTTGGAGAGGAGAAATGTAGGCCGCCCAGGATTCTTCTTCTTCCCGGCGCGGCTGGATCGATCTCGAGGAGCTGTTGGGCGCTTCAGGTACGCTGACAGATCGACTGTGGATCGATCGCTTTCGCGAGTTCTGGGCGTGATTATTCCAGAACCAGGCGCAGCGGAAGCTGAGCAATGGCTACGCAGGTTTTATGTCGTGGCTCGCGAGCCGGAACGATGATGGCGATCCATCGGCGGTGCGCATTGGGACTTCGCGAGAATCTGGCGGGCAGGTCGAGTATCGGTTTTTAGTTTTTTCCTTTTGATTCATTGATGAGTCTATGGCGCAGGGGATAATGTTGGTTCTTGTTTACGTCCAGATGATAGCTCCTAGCGATCTTCCTGACCAGCTCAGCACGGTTTTGCCCAGCACTGTTAAGCCGTGGACCAAACTTGCTCTTATTGTCCTCATGGAACGCTACAAAGGCCAGGCAAGTTTACTCTCAACATTTTCGTCTTCGCTTTGCTAAATCTTTCTCGTCAGTATGGGCACCATACATCTCGTGTCTTCCTCAACCAGCGGAGCTCGACAACACGGTACTGGACTATCGAGTTTTTGTTTCTCAAAGTTTTCAAGTGCGTAGTTTCGTTGGGAGGACACCGAGCTAAGTTACTTGAGGGCGAGCCCTTTATACGGCAAGGCTCGTGAGCGGCTGGAAATGATAACAACTGAGTTTGGCCAAGTGCAAAACGTAAGTACTTCGGGTAGTTTTCTATTTTGCAAGCTTTCATTCACTTAGTTTTCTTACTGTTTTTTTTCTTTTCCGAATGGTTTTATTCAAGGAGGAAATTTTTTACTTTGATGCTTGAAGGACTTTTGTACCTGTGTACTGGAGCAGGCACTTGATGTTTGGCCTCAACTATTCGGTAAGGTGTCTCTTGAAGACTTGAAGCATGTATACGCCACAGGTACAGGAAGCAAGCTTGTTTCTTGCTAGTTTTGTTCGTCCTGCCTTTGCTGCAGTTTTTTCTCGTTCACTAGCCATTGGAGAGGACTCGACAACATTAGTAATGCTATGTCTCCCTTTATTTCTGTTTACGTCCTTGTGTACATTATTATAACGCGGCGTTAGCAGATACCAATGCTCGATTTTTTCAACCACAACGCAACCAGCTTTGCGAAGCTCTCATTTAACGGGCTTCTCAACTACGCAGTTGTAAGATACGCCTGAAGTTCTTTCTTTTTCTTTTCCGTACCACAAGCAGGTTACAGCGGACAGAGACTATGCTGAAAACGATCAGGTAGAGGCAGTGGTCTTTGTTTTGTTTTCATGTTTCATTCGGCTTCGCAGATTTGGATAAACTATGGTGATCTTTCAAACGCAGAGCTTGCACTTGATTATGGCTTCACTGTGCCTTCACTGAAAATCCGTATGACGAGGTAGGTAATGAGCGTGCTAAGAGGTGTGGTGCTGAATCACTTTTCACAAACCGCAGACTGATCTATTGACGCAATTCCCGGAAATGAACACGATAATTGAAGATCAACTCGGCGGAAACACGCTGTAAAACACATTCCTTTTTCTTTGAAGAGACACATTGTTTGTGCTTCTCAGGGGTCAAAAACCACTTCAAGGTTCTCCTGTGTGCCTGGAAGTAGCACGGCGAATCGAGACGCATGAAAAATCAATCCTGGTTGGGCCCTTCTCTCGAGCTTGTATCGTTTTAACACCTTCTGGCAGGAACTAAATCAACACTCATGGAGGTCGAGAAGTAGACACCTTCTAGCTGCCGCGTCCTAGATGGTGAGCTGACGTGAAGCATTTCGGCTGGATGGCACACGCCAGGCATAACTTTGGGAGACAAGATCTTTTTCTGGTTTTGTGAAGGCCTTGTTTTTCTCCAGGAAAGCACAGCGTTGCTTGATGTAAGCCGTGGAATATAAATCGGTAAGCGCGTGCATGCGTCGGATGAGGCGGTTGGAAAACGACGGGAGGAGCGAGTGCCGTATAAGATCGCCGCCCCCGGCTGCCATGCTGATCTCTCCTGCTAACGCTGCTTTTTCCTTCTGGCTTTTCTTCAAGTTCTAAACAGCGAGCGATAGCGTGATCAGCTTTCCTGATTGCAGGCTCGATCCAGACGAAAGGATGAAGTTTCTAAGTCGCATTGGCAGGTTTCTAGGGCTGTTGGTCTATCGGATCGTGCATCATCTTCGACGCTTCGAATTTCCAAATTAAAGCATTATTTCCATAGCTTATATAAAATGCCATTGCCTTTTTGGGTTAGGTATACTTTCCAGAACAGGAAGAGAGCATTAAAGGTGAGCAAGTGAAATATGTTTGAGGTGGACAAGGTCGTGCGTACGCGGGAAATGGTAGCCAGCGATCATGGATTGCAGGCTTTTACCGATGGATCTTTCAAGCGTGGGGTTTTCGGAGGTTATGGAGTGTTTATCCCGAGAGTTTCCATGCGACTCGCTTGTGGAAGAAGGGCAAACGACAACTTACATACAAGCTCCACTATCACGTTTGAGCTGTTGGGTTTGATGCGAGCCCTCGAAATCTGTTTAGAGATGGAATGGCGCTGGGGATTGTGGGAGCCAATCTTTGTATACACCGACAGTTATGACTCCTTGACGCTGCTGGAGATGTATGTGCAAGATCCAATAGCCCTGGGTCGCCATCCAAATGCAGATATCATCCAGACGATAGTTTGGCTTGCAGGAACATCACTTGTTCCAGTTCATTTTTGTAAGGTGAAGGGGCACTACGACATCGCTGGAAATCAAGTTGCAGATGAGTTAGCTAAGATTGGTGCACATTTACTTCCAGGACAATCACAGTTTATTAACACTGTAGTTGAGTCACAATATGGTCAGCAGCAAAGCTATTCACGCCCTCAACAATTTGTGATTTACTGAAAAAAAAAAAGCAAAAAAAAAAACCATTAGCCAAATTTTGTTTGTAAAATGAAGATTAAAACTTTCTAAATGTTAATTTTCTTGAGCATTGCTTCCTTGGTGGTAAGTAATGCTTAGCCCTTTAAATTTTAGACCACAAGCTCTACGTAGCTGGACTTTCCTGGGGCAATGCTGGCATCAATGCATTATAGCACAGCTCTGTGGAGGTTTCCAGGCAATGATTTTGGGTGGCGGGGTGGTGCATTAGCTCAGTCTTGCATTCTCTTGTCTGCCATCGTTTGTAGCACTTTTTCCAGCTCAGATCAATCGATCAAAGCAGCAGTGTCGACGTACACATCTTGCTGCCTAAAACTCTCAAGGAAAAGTTGCTCAATGACACCTCCTTCACTCACTACTTTAGTGACAAAAGAGACCTCTAGCTGGTTGTGCAGGAACAAGTGTGAAAATGTGAATAAGATCTTCGTAACCAAACACTTTGGATTCCTGAGAGAAGAAAACTAACATTATTGAACTTATGGAGTTTGCCTCCAGAACATTTTCAAGATTGCCGTGCAAGTTTCTGCTTGATACGTGGAGCAAGTTAGTATTCATTGTTGAAGCTCCGTGTTGATCAAGGATGTTGATCAGGGAATCAGCACGCATAAGGCTTGAGATATACTTGTGGAGAAGTATACTCTACCTCAGGATACAAAGCAGTGACTTCAATATCATCAGGAGCCAACTCGAAGCACATAGCTCCATTGTAAAAAACGTGATAGATGCGCGTCCACACCTCTCTGAGCTGCAATGGAGTTTGAGCGTCTGCAAAACCAAACAATCCCGTCAGTAGACCTCGCAAATGAAAGCTCTCACCGTTGATGTGTAGAAGAACCTCCTCCTCACTCATCCACCTCTTTTCAAGGGTGCTGCCGGTCATTTCTTCCCACAATGCTACTTGCTCGTTCATTGTCAAGGCGTTTCCGGGAGGGCGAACGTAAAGAGCCTTGTTGAGTGTTCTGGGATCATCGACCGACTTGAGCAAGTAAGTTGCGAGGTCCTCCTCGGAGATATACATGACTGTGAATCCGCCAAAGTAAAAAGAGACAAATGCATGATCTAGAAACAACAAAACTGGTACCTTTGTGATCTCCATCTTTGTAAATGCAAACCTTGTCTCTGGGTGGAGTGAAAGTCGGGAAACCGTCCATTTGTACGAAACTGGCGAGCATGAGCCCCATGATACAGTTCGCCATGAAAAACGTATGAGGAATTCCTGCTGCTTCGATGGCTCTCCGGATAGCTACCTTGTCCCTATACATGGGGCTCTCGGGAATGGACTGGTCCTTGCAGATCCTATCCGCGTCCATCCCAAACTCGGAGGGGTAGAACTTCTGGAGAAGACAACTGTGTAAGTCGGGATTCACTTGAAAACCGTAAACTTCACCTTGATGTTTCCAGCTTCTTTCACGGCTCTGATGAGATCGTACTGGAGCTTTAGTTGATCTTCCCCAAGAGCGCAGATCACAACATCGACTTGCTGTAATATTCGCACAAGATCCTCTCGGTCTTCCAGAAAGCACTGGTTTCCAAAAAGCAGAAATGTAAGTGAACCAACACCAAGTAACTGATGATAGCTAGTACGGTGTAAATCGTTGCTCCGGCTTTTCTTAGCCCAACCAGGAACCGGACTTTATCAACATGTTTTGACACCTGAAGCTCACCCCAGAGATCAAAGAAGAAATATAGATAGCTTGAAAGTACCTGTGGACGAACTAGTATACTAGTTGGATGACCCGATTGAATACTAGCAGTAGCGATGTACTTGCCGATGTATCCCGTAGCTCCAACGATCAGAATCCTGCTCTTGGGCTCCATACTCACTCAAAATCAAACCAAATGGAAGAATCATCACAGTGTAAGCCTTCTTCATAGTGGAGCTGACATCCAGGATTATCACCTTACCATCGCGTCTTTGTTTACGAATTCCAATGTTACAAGCTCTGTGTTACCTGAGCTGGTTTGGGTCTCGAAACAATACAAACCCCGTGATTAGCTCCACAAGAAACACCCAACACTTCTACCGGAGTTTTCTCATGAAGAGCCTGTGGAAATTGTACCAAAACGGGATCTAGTTGCTCATCCTTAAGTCCAGGAATTCCGAGCTGGTAGTCGCGATTCTTTCCCCACGTATATAGATCCCCATTCTCTGAAAGCATATGAGCATTTCTGGCAAGAAAAAAAGAAAACGCTACTAACCAGTGATTGCTGCTGTCCAAGCCGGTCCGCAAGCAATGTAAGTGCATGTTTTATCAGCCATAGCCTCGACAATAGCCGGCTCTTTCCCGTTTTCCAAAGTCCCATGACCAAGTTGGCCATTTCCACCATATCCCCATGTAATCACTTTCCCGTCCTCTTAAGCGAAACAAGTAGAATGTTACGTACCAACAAGAAAAATCCAAGGCAAGAACTTACGAGTGAGAGCAGCAGCATGGAATCCACCACAAGCTACTTGCACTAGAGTCACATCTTCCAGAGCGGCTACAACCTTGGGCTTCCAGTTATTCGCTCTCGTTCCATGGCCAAGCTCATGGTTTGCATTCCCTGAACAGAATCAACACTAGTCTCCCCAGTTTTCAGGAAAAGAAAAATATACCTCCCCAGGACCATAATTGTCCCGACTTAGTGAGAGCCATTGTGAAAAATCCCCCGCAATAAACCAAGGCGATGGGAACGTCTAGCGCTTGGACCTTCGTCGGCCTGCTCAATGCACCTTCGTCCATGATGTCCGGGTTTCCATGCCCGAGCCTTCCTTCACCCTCGTCTCTTCCCCATGTGTAAAGCTCGCCTTTACAGAAGAAAGAAGAAGAAAACAATCAGACTTGCTCAAGAAAAAAGAGAACTTTGCTTACCACTTTCCGTGACTGCGGCGGTGTGCGATCCCCCGGCCGAAACGTGAACTATCCTGTCTTTCCACGGGCCCTCCAACAATCTGGGAAGAAGCTCTCGCTCGTATGATCCATGGCCTAGAGCACCAAAAGCCCCGTACCCCCTGCAAGCTTTGGCATCAACACATCTCAAGCGCAAGAACAAGAAAAGAAGAAATCAAAAACCAAGGATGATCTCACGTACCATGTATACACATTTCCAACTTCTGTGAGAGCGATGTTGTGCAATCCTCCAGCGCTCGCCATTTGGACCCTCTTGATCCTGGGATTCACGTAAGGCTTGTACTGGTTAAACTCCGTGTCTATGCCCAGCCTTCCACCATCGCCCTTCCCCCACACAAAAACATCCTGCTCGGCGAAGAGCACCGAATGGAAGAGCCCGCAAGTCACTCCAACGTTTCCCAGCCGGGGCTTGGCCTTCTCCACAAAGAGCGATGGATCCACGCCACCACCACCGCCACCACCACCGGCGGCGGCCCTCTTAAAAACACCACACCTCTCAAGCACATCCAGCCTCACCTCCTCGGCCTGCGCGGCCACTTCCATGTCCACCGGCATTCTCCCCTGGATTGGAGCCATCCCTGTGAATGCCGCGAGCTTGAGCGTGGAGATTAGCACCGGCAGCTTCTCCGTGTCCTCGGATCCATGTCCGACTTGCCCGTGAGTCCCCCGCCCCCACGCCCATACCTCCAGCTCCGCCGGCTCGCCGCTGCTCACTCGATCCGCCAGATATCCTATCCGCCGCCGCTGGAGCGATCGAAATGCGAGGTGTGATGGCGCTGCTCGCCGCAGCATCGCGCTCCACGCCATCGAGAACCCTAAAACCCTAAACCCCCCCACTCGACGATATTCGTAGAATATGCCCTTTAAACCCTAAAACCCTTGGGGCATTTTTAGGGTTTATGGCGCTCGATGGCGCGGAGGTGGCTGCTGTGCGCGATTCTGAGGCCAGCGCGTGGCTGGATGCGTCGCCGGAGCTTGTGAGCAGTGCCAGATCTTTCTCCGAGCAGATATTCGCGCTCGCTGTCACGTATTTTCCCAGGAATCCGCTACGCCGGCTGCTTACGCAGGGATTCGACGCCGAGCAGATATGGCAGCAGATCGAGATCCAGGATCGCCAGCTTCTTGCGTCCGTGAGGAGGCAGATCAGGGATTTGGAGAAGGTGGACGCTGCCGGGGATTTTTTTGGATTGGGAAATGCTGTTACTGAGGAGCAAGAGAACGGAAAGGCGGAGGCTAGTGATGATTCTCTTAGTGAGGAGGACAAGGAAAATGAGGGAGAGGAAGTGTCTGATGAAGAGGAGGAAGAGGCGGAGGCTGGAGTGTCGAATGTTTTGGAGGACAAGTTCTTGAAGCTCAAGGATATGGATAGATTTTTGCTGGATGCTGAGGAAGACTACCAACGGGGGGACGAGGCTCCTGAAAAGGATGAAGAGGAGGATGACGAGGAGGATGACGAGGAGGATGACGAGGACGATGGTGCGGATTCTGACGACGGAGATAAAGATATAAGGTAACTCGATATTGATTTTCTCTTGCTGAGACCTTTGTAGATACGAGGATTTCTATGGAAAGATCAAGAGCAAGGAAAAGAGCCAAGTTAAAGATCATGACAAGGAACAAGAAGAAGAACCAGGCGATGATGACGATGATGATGATGAACAAGGGGAAGATGAAGAAGAAGAGGTTAATGAAGAGGACGAAGGACAACAAGAACAAGGACGTAAAAGCGAGAGGGTGCAAGAAAAATCTTCGCATGAAAAACAACTGGAGAAGACACAAAAGCGTATCGAGCTGCTGGAAAAGGCTAACATGGATCCAAAAGACTGGACAATGCGTGGAGAGGTAATTTCACGCATGTTTTTCCATGTTTCTGATACAAGTTCTCCTAGATTACGGCAGCCAAACGACCCAAGAACAGCGCGCTTGAAGCTGATTTGGATTTCGAGCATAACGCGCGACCTGCACCTGTAATCACCGAAGAAGTCACGACTTCTCTCGAAGATCTCATTCGGCGTCGTATCATTGACGTACGCCTTTCTTTTCGCAAAGGCTTCAACGCTTAAAACTGTATTTTGTTTCAGGGCCTGTTCGATGATGTTGAAAGGAAGCAAAAACTACCAGATGTGCCTCTTGCGCAAAAGATGGAAATCGTAAGTCGATTGTGTGTTCTAAGCGTACAAGTCTAACGTCGAAACTTCTAATTTCTTACAGGATGAAAGCAAAAGCACGAAGGGATTGGGTGAATTATACGAGGTATTTATCAACGTGAAACTTCCTGCAATCTTTTGATCTGTTTCGTTTTTTCTTGTTTCAGGAGGAATACATGCAATCTGCAGGGCTTGCATCAGCTCCGGAAACCGAAGCAGATAAACTGAAACAAGAGGTTTTGTTCTCTTTCACTCATTGTGGCTGTTACCTACTCTCTGCTAATGCAGGCAAGAGATGTGTTTAAAAGGTTATGCATAAAACTGGATGCGCTGGCTCACTTCCATTTCGCTCCAAAACCTGTAAGGACTTCTTCGTGATATCATGTGGCTAAGGCTGGCTGTGCAGGTGATAGAAGACATGGCTGTCAAAGATGTTCCAGCGCTTGCTATGGAAGAGGTGTGTTTGCGTTTTAAAAGTGCTTGAGACTGAGCTCTATGGTTTCTCTAGGTGGCGCCTGTATTCGTTTCGGACGCATCGATGTTAGCCCCGGAGGAGATGTTTAGCGGTAAAGGAGCAGTAAAAGACGAGAAGGAGCTCGACAAAGGCGATAGGAAGAGGAGGCGTGCCTCAAAGAAGCGTAAATATAAAGGTGGGATGGTGTCATATCGCAGGAATATGATGTTCTTACGCAAAGTGTTTCAGCTCAACAAAAAGCCCAAGCTCTGCCTAAAAGGCCTCGAACGGATGACAAAACTGAAGAACAGCTTTCCGCAGCTCCTAAGAAGAAGCAAACTTCCGACTTCGTGAAATCTGCCAAGGTGAGAATTCGCAAGTTTGCAGGCTTGTATTGAGCGTCGTGTTAATTCTGCAGGTTTTTGCGGAGCTTGACCGGCAAAAAACTCAGCCCGCTGCCAAAGCTAAGATTGAAAAATCGATGCAACCTTCCTCTTTCAAGCTCTAGCCAGTGATCACCTTTGGTAAGAAGCGTTTTTCGCTAGCAATCTGCTCTAACTCTTGTTATTCTGATAAGGCATTAAAATATACGTGGAATGGCTCGCAATTTTCCGAGGCTTTCGTCAAGCTTTCCTCTGATCACTCCTACGCTGAGTGGTCAGAACGAAAGAATTCTAGGTAGCTTTGAGCAATCCAAAAGGATCTTAGACAAAAATGTAAAAGTCACAGGATGGAACTAGATGCCAAAGTTATGCCTGGCGAGTGCCATCCAGCCGATGCTTCACGCTCTTTAAAACTCTCAGCTCACCATCTAGGACGGCTGCAGCTAGAAGTTGTCTACTTCTCGACCTCCATGAGTGTTGATTTAGTTCCTGCGAGACAGTGTTAAAACGATAAAAGCTCGAGAGAAGGGCCCAACCAGGATTGATTTTTCATGCGTCTCGATTCGCCGTGCTACTTCCAGGCACACAGGAGAACCATGAAGTGGTTTTTGACCCCTGAGAAGCACAAACAATTAGTCTCTTCAAAGAAAAAGGAATGTTTTACGGCGTGTTTCCGCCAAGTTGATCTTTAAGTATCGTGTTCATTTCCGGGAATTGCGTCAATAGATCAGTCTGCAGTTTGTGAAAAGTGATTCAGCAACACACCTCTTAGCACGCTCATTACCTCGTCATACGGATTTTCAGGCACAGTGAAGCCATAATCAAGTGCAAGCTCTGCGTTTGAAAGATCACCATAGTTTATCCAAATCTGCGAAGCCGAATGAAACATGAAAACAAAACAAAGACCACTGCCTCTACCTGATCGTTTTCAGTATAGGCTCTGTCCGCTGTAACCTGCTTGTGGTAAGGAAAAGAAAAAGAAAGAACTTCACGCGTATCTTACAACTGCGTAGTTCAGAAGCCCGTTAAAGGAGAGCTTCGCAAAGCTGGTTGCGTTGTGATTGAAAAAATCGAGCATTGGTATCTGCTAACGCCGCGTTATAATGTACACAAGGAAGTAAACAGAAATAAAAAGAGACATACCATTACTAATGTCGAGTCCTCTCCAATGGCTAGTGAACGAGAAAAAACTGCAAAGGAAGGACGAACAAAACTAGCAAGAAACAAGCTTGCTTCCTGTACCTGTGGCGTATACATGCTTGAAGTCTTCAAGAGAAACTTTACCGAATAGTTGAGGCCAAACATTAAGTGCCTGCTCAAGTACACAGGCAAGTACGTTAGAAACGCTTACAAAAATCCTTCAAGCATCAAAGTAAAAAAGTCCTTGAAACCATTTGGAAAAGAAAAAAACAGTAAAAAAGAAGTGAATGAAAGCTTGCAAAATAGAAAACTACCCCAAGTACTTACGTTTTGCACTTGGCCAAACTCAGTTGTTATCATTTCCAGCCGCTCACGAGTCTTGCCGTATAAAGGGCTCGCCTTCAAGTAACTTAGCTCGGTGTCCTCCCAAAGAAACTACGCACTTGAAAATTTTGAGAAACAAAAACTCGATAGTCCAGTACCGTGTTGTCGAGCTCCGCTGGTTGAGGAAGACACGAGATGTATGGTGCCCATACTGACGACTGGAGCTCTTGCAAGAAAGATTTAGCAAAGCGAAGACGAAAATGTTGAGAGTAAACTTGCCTGGCCTTTGTAGCGTTCCATGAGGACAATAAGAGCAAGTTTGGTCCACGGCTTAACAGTGCTGGGCAAAACCATGCTGAGCTCGTCAGGAAGATCACTAGGAGCTATCATCTGGGCGTAAACAAGAACCAACATTAAGTGGAAAAGAAGAAAGGACCAAACAACACAGACCAAGTCTAGAGAAATTTCCAGCACGCGTTCTCCCGCACGAACTGGACGGCTCGCAAACAATCCCCTGCGTCATAGACTCATCAATGAATCAAAAGGACAAAAATAAAACCACGAACTCCACTGCTACTCGACCTGCCTGCCAGATTCTTGCGATGTCCCAATGCGCACCGCCGATAGATCGCCGTCATCGTTCCGGCTCGCGAGCCACGACATAAACCCTGCGTAGCCATTGCTCAGCTTCCGGGGCGCCTGGTTCTGGAATGATCAAGCCAAGAACTCGCGAAAGCGATCGACAATCGATCTATCAGCGTACCTGAAGCGCGCAAAACCTCCTCGAGATCGATCCAGCCACGCCGGGAAGAATAAGAATCCTGGGCGGCGCCACCGGCGCCCACATTTCTCCTCTCCAAAAATATAGGTTTATTACCACGTCACTGCAATGCCACGTCATGGGTAAAGAGTAGCTGATGTGGCATATTCCCGTGTTTGCCACGTGGCGTTCTACACTTTCTTGGCGTGTAATTTAGGGCATGATGGAGAGCAAGAAGCGCAAGGCGGAGGAGGATCCGGGCGGCGATGCCGGCGGAGTTGAGCAGCCGGATCTCGATAGCGCCGACGTTCTCAAGCTCCTGGAGCCGCTGGATCGCGGCGCCATGCACTACATCCTCCAGATTTCTTGCTTGCAGCACCCGGCTGTTCTGGAAGAGGTCCGGAGGTACGTGGACAGGGATCCCGCGCACCGCAAGCTCTTCGTGCGGGGATTGGGCTGGGACACCACCGCCGAGACGCTCAAGGGCGTCTTCTCGCAATCCGGGGAGGTGGACGAGGCCGTGATCATCCGGGACAAGGCCACGCAAAAGAGCCGGGGATTCGGCTTCGTCAGTTTCAAGCATATGGATGGAGCTCTCCGCGCGCTCAAGGAGCCGAGCAAGAGGATCGATGGAAGAATGACCGCTTGCCAGTTCGCGTCAACCTCTTCTTCCTCCACTCCTTGCTCTTCGATCACTCCATCCATCAATCCTCCTCCGCCGAGGCCATTCATCGAAGACGTCTCCACCAGGAAGATCTACGTCGGGAGCGTTCCAGTGGGGACGAGCGCGGACAAGGTGCTGGCCATCTTCTCCCAGTTTGGAGAGATCGCCGAGGGTCCGCTGGGATTCGACCGCTCCACTGGAGCTTCCAAGGGATTCGCGCTCATCATCTACAGAACCTCCGAGGGAGCGCGCAAGGCGCTGCTGGATCCTTTCAAGACGATCGATGGCCACCAAGTTCACTGCAAGCTCGCCGCCGAGGGGCTGGCCAAGCAGCAGCAAATCAAGCACGATCAAGCGTCCATGGATCATCACCACCATCAAGCCATGCGGCCTTTGATGGCTCCAGCGATCGCTCACAACACCATGAAACAAGCTCCTCATCCTCTCGTCAACTATCACTACGCCCAAGCTCCTCCGCCATCTTCGAGGGCGGGGTCATACAACTATCCGGCAGCGTTTGGAGGACAAGCCGCCTGTCAGGGACAGTATTATGGGATTCACCCCGGCTATGGAGTTTCGTATCCCGCAAGTGCAGTTCCAGTGGCGAGCGTTCCATCGGGTTACAGCGGTACGTGATTTACAAACAAAGATCACACTTTCTAGCAATAGTTTTGGTTCTTGGTTCGGACTGACTTAAAACAAGTTGGTTCTCTCTCCAGTGTAACAACAATTTTATTCTTTTTAAAAAGATAATTTTAGTTCAATTTTTTGTTCTTTTGTCAAAATGCATTTGAAGATACTCTTGACGTAGTGATCCAATGCCATGTTAAACAATTCGCATCTGGAAGATCTAGCTCACCAAGGTAATACCGTTATCATCATTATTAGAATTGCGATTGCTGATTGATTTCAGCAAATACCGGGATCAAGATCTCCTCTCGCTTCCACTAGATCTGATCCAACACGCTATCTTCCACTAGGTCCAACTTGTGTTGGATCTTACCGCTCATAAGTTCATACCAATTGGAGTTCCAGAACATGGCAGCTCTCGTGGTAACTCTTTTGATTGTGCTGCTCCCTCTCCTATTGTGGTGGCTTCGCATCTATCAGAGCAAGAAAAATGTAGCGCCAGGGCCTTTAGCGATTCCACTTTTGGGCCATCTTCACATGCTGGGAAGGCATCCACACAAAGCCCTCTCTAGTCTCTCCAAGAAGTTTGGATCTGTCATGAGCATCAATCTAGGCTCTGTTCCAACGCTTGTAATCTCTTCTCCAGATGCTGCAAAAACCATTCTCTCCACGCAGGACATCGTCTTTGCATCCAGGCCAAGGACTGCCGCTGCCAAGTTTATCTTCTTCAACGCAAGGGATATGGTGTGGTGCGAGTATGGATCGTACTGGAGGACAATGAAGAAGGTTAGTACTCTGGAGCTCTTCACGGCCAAGAGGGTGGAGGAGTCAAAGAAGCTGAGGATGGAAGAGATTTCTCGTCTTGTGACCTCTATTGCTCGGGAGGGTGACAATGGAAGGGTTGCTATTGACATGAATGCCAAATTGTCAATGACCAACATGAACTTGGTGAGTTTCATGGCATTCAGCCGGAAGTTTGAGGAATCCTCGTTTGTAGAGCTCTTGCAAGAGGCGATTGGTCTTGTGACTGGTTTTGTTCCCAGTGATTACTTCCCCTATCTCGGCTGGATGGATGATTACCTGGGCACTGTTCCAAAGATGAAAGCCGTACAGGGCAAGCTTGACACGATATTCCAGGCAATCATCGACGAGCACAGATGCGTAAATGCGGAGAAACAACGAGCTCCAGATCTTGTCGATGTGCTGCTCTCGCTGGATGAAGTAGATGACAATGATCGCAAGGGCATGATCATGGTGAGTCAAAGAACATGGATCGTTGAACAACATTTCTTTGAAAATCTCACCTTTCTTTGCTTCTAGGATATGTTTGGTGGTGGCGTCGACACCGCTTCCATCACCACTGAGTGGGCTCTCTCAGAACTCATACGCAATCCAGCTTGCATGCTCAAAGCCCAGCGCGAGATTGACCAGGCCGTGGGGTTTGACCGAGCCGTGAACGAAGATGATCTCCTCAACCTCGGCTACGTTAGAGCGATTGCCAAGGAGACCTTCCGCTTGCACCCGCCGGTCCCGCTGCTGGTCCCGCACGAGTCAACGCAAGAGTGTCTGGTCAACGGACTCCGCATTCCCGCCAGAACCAGGGCCACGGTCAACGTGTGGTCAATCGGGAGGGATCCAAGGTGGTGGGAGCGTCCGGAGATGTTTGATCCGGACAGGTTTGCTGCGAGGAGTGTGATTGATGTCAAAGGGCAGCACTTTGAGCTTCTTCCGTTTGGATCTGGGCGGAGGATGTGCCCGGCGATGGGCTTGGGATTGGCCATGGTTGAACTCTCACTTGCGAGGTTGATCCAGGGATTCGAGTGGAATTTGCCAGCAGGACTGCAAGAGCTGAATATGGAGGAGGAATTTGGGGTGACGCTCCGGAAGAGAGTGCATCTGAGTGCTCTTGCAATGCCCCGTTTGAAGGCAGAGCTTTACGTTTAGAATGTAATTTGGTTTCCCATCCGTATATCTGTAACTTTGAAAGTTAATCGAGAAAATATCGAAGCTCTTGAAGATTGGCAGGACGGCTGGTTTTCACGATGAATCAAGCGCATACATAAATAATTTTCTTATGTTTAATCATTCACTTGCAGACTAATCCTAAGATATGTCCTTCTCGATCTTCTTCAAAGTGGTGTTTGAGCTACAAAACAAGAGGATACAGAAGAAGTAACAAGAAGAACCAGATTTCAAGCAGTCCAGGAACAAGGTTTTACGCTAATCAAATTAGTAAATTTGGGATTTGAGCCAGAAGCTAGAGTGGGAAATTTGAGACAAGCGTCTCTCCAAGCTTAACTGAATCATTTTATTGTCTGCGTATAAAACCCTCGTAAGTATGAGACTGGTGTATTGAGATAAGCTGCTTGGATGATAGTTGCCGCCGTTCACCGGCCAACATTATTGGTTGTGGTGGTTGTGGCCTCCCCCATTGCTTGAATCTTGTCCTCACACGTGTAATTGGGGAGTGGAGCTCCAAAGTCCAAGTTGGCGTTTCCCAGCTTGACATTTTGGAAGGTAAACTCGCCATGTTGCAAAAGGCAAAGATCAGTCATTTTCCATTTATTGGACACCTTACTTTCGTGCCATAAAAAACATTCAGCTTTCGTACCAATGGAAGACATGGCAGCCCTCATTGTAGCTCTTTTGATTGTGCTACTCCCATTATTATGGTGGTGGCTTTGCAGCAAGAAAAATGTAGCCCCAGGGCCTTTGGCGATCCCACTCTTGGGCCATCTTCACTTGCTGGGAAGGCATCCACACAAATCCCTCTGTAGTCTCTCCAAGAAATATGGATCTGTCATGAGCATCGATCTAGGCTCTGTTTCAACGCTTGTAATCTCTTCTCCAGATGCTGCAAAAGCCATTCTCTCCACGCAGGACATCTTCTTTGCATCCAGGCCAAGGACTGCTGCTGCCAAGCATATCTTCTTCAACGCAAGGGATATGGTGTGGTGCGAGTATGGATCTTACTGGAGGACAATGAAGAAGGTTTGTACTCTGGAGCTCTTCACTGCCAAGAGGGTGGAGGAGTCAAAGAAGCTGAGGGTGGAAGAGATTTCTCGTCTTGTGACCTCTATTGCTCGGGAGGGTGACAATGGAAGGGTTGCGATTGACATGAATGCCAAATTATCAATGACCAACATGAACTTGGTGAGTTTCATGGCATTCAGCCGGAGGTTTGAGGAATCCTCGTTTGTGGAGCTCTTGCAAGAGGCGATTGGTCTTGTGACTGGTTTTGTTCCCAGTGATTACTTCCCCTATCTCGGCTGGATGGATGATTATCTGGGCACTGTTCCAAAGATGAAAGCCGTGCAGGGCAAACTTGACAAGATATTCCAGGCAATCATCGACGAGCACAGATGCGTAAATGCGGAGAAACAACGAGCTCCAGATCTTGTCGATGTGCTGCTCTCGCTGGATGAAGTAGATGACAATGATCGAAAGGGCCTGATCATGGTGAGTGAAAGTCCTAAGATCTTCAGAAAATATCATCTTTTCTTGCTTCTAGGATATGTTTGGTGCTGGCGTCGACACCGCTTCCATCACCACGGAGTGGGCCCTCTCAGAACTCATACGCAATCCAGCTTGCATGCTCAAAGCCCAGCGCGAGATTGACCAGGCCGTGGGGTTTGACCGAGCCGTGAACGAAGATGATCTCCTCAACCTCGGCTACGTTAGAGCGATTGCCAAGGAGACCTTCCGCTTGCACCCGCCGGTCCCGCTGCTGGTCCCGCACGAGTCAACGCAAGAGTGTCTGGTCAACGGACTCCGCGTTCCCGCCAGAACCAGGGCCACGGTCAACGTGTGGTCAATCGGGAGGGACCCAAGGTGGTGGGAGCGTCCGGAGGTGTTTGATCCGGACAGGTTTGCTGCAAGGAGTGCGATTGATGTCAAAGGGCAGCATTTCGAGCTGCTTCCATTTGGATCCGGGCGGAGGATGTGCCCAGGGATGGGCTTGGGATTGGCCATGGTGGAGCTCTCCCTGGCGAGGTTGATCCAGGGATTTGAGTGGACTTTAGCACCAAAACTGCAAAAGCTGGATATGGAGGAGGAGTTTGGGATGACGCTCCGGAGGAGAGTGCCTCTCAGAGCTCTTGCAATTCCCCGTATGAAGGCAGAGCTTTATGGAGGGATATGCTAGTATATTCTAGCTGCCATAAGCAAAATTAAATCCATTAAAGTCTTTTAAAAGGTAAGTAAAAAAGCTTTTGTTTAGGGTTCTATTGCGGCAATGGGCTGGAAAGAATCGGACTTGGTGGTGGATTTGGATCCTCCGGATGAAGAGTGCCCGATCTGCATCAGCTCGCTCCAAGGTGATGAGGTCGTCGTCGAGCTCTCTCGATGCAACCATCACTTCCACCACAAATGCGTCACATCTTGGTTCCGCTCTCGCCCTAGCTGCCCAACTTGCCTCCGTCCGTACGGGATCTTCACTGGAACCCAGCCCCGGGGATCCATGTTCGTACAGACGCAGAGCGATTGGAGCTGTGCAGGGTTTCCATTGCACGGTGTTATCACGATTAATTACCGCTTCCCAAATGGAATCCAGGTTATTTATTCATTTTCTTTCTATTATTATATTATTATTATTATTGTTATTATAGGGGCCAGAGCATCCCAATCCTGGGTATCACTACAAAGGGACTGTACGAACGGCATTTTTGCCTGATAATGAAGAAGGGCGAGATATATTGAGGCTCTTGAAGATAGCATGGGAGCGAAAGCTGGTTTTCACTGTGGGGACGTCAATTACCACAGGTTTAAGTAACTGTGTAATGTAAGTGAGTTTTTTTCTTACCATTTAAACTTATAATTAAAATGCAGCTGGAATGGCATCCACCACAAGACTCAGTACGAAGGCACATACGGATATGTAAGGAATTTTCTTTTGTTTACTTAGGTGATGTTTGGTAAATTTTCTTGCAGCCAGATGCGACTTATCTCAGTAGAGTAAGGCAGGAACTCGCTGCATTGGGCGTTTTTTAACGTAAAACTCTAGCTGCCACGTGGACGGTTGCAATTCAAACTCAAATGCATAGTGAAGAGAAGAGAATATTCTTCAGGATTTTAGGGTTTGAGAAGGGCTTTAGTATGGAGGAGCGATGGCGCGCGCCCGAGTGGCTCTATCCGTGCTTGATCGCCGGATCGGGATGTGCTCTAGCGCTGCGGGCTTCGATCGCCAGGAAATATGGCGCCGCGCCTCGCCTTTCACCTACATTCGTTGCGTTCCAGAGGAGGTTTTTTCAAGTTTTCTTGCTGGCTTTAGGTAAATTTCCAATCTTTCTGCGAGCAAAGGATGAAGCAAGTAATCGATGTTTCTTTTGCAGTGGCCCATGGTTTCCAAAATGTGTATGTAGAAGCTCTGTACAAGAGCTATGGATTGCAGAGAAAGGAAATAGCTCGTCTTCTCCTGTTTGGTCACGCAGCAGCAATTTTTGTAGGGACAATTGTGGCAGTTTCAGCGGATTCCTTGTAAGCTTTTGTCGATTTTTTATTTTTCTTCCGGATTAGAGGAGAATAGTTTTTGCTGCCAGAGGACGAAAGCAAGTATGCCTTGCGTATGCGGTCTTTACGGTGATTGAGTCTGTTCTAAAGCAATGGGGACACCTCTACGCTCTTTGCCTTGCGAGGATTTTCAACGGGTTGGCCTCGTCGGTGCTGCCTTGCGTTTTTGAGACATGGATGATCTCAGAGCATGAAAGGGTACTGTAAACTGTAAAACTCAAAACTAGACTGTCTTTAACGTCTCGTTTCAGCATGGTTTTCGTCAAGAATGGATGGTGGAAACGTTCCTGATGATGAGTTTTGGCGGAGCTATCGCTTCACTTGGTACCACCGCTGTTGCAAACTTTTTCGTCACCAACTTGGGTTGGAAGCTAGGAGCACCATCTGTTCTCTCCGCCGGTGCCGCAGTTATTCTTTTTCTTTTCGTTTCGAGATCCTGGGATGAGAACTGGGGTGAGGAGAGTCAAGGAAAAATCTCCAAGCCGTTGCTCCTTCCATTTCGCGGTCAGTGGTTTTTCGCTTGTTTGTTTTTTTTCTTATTCGAGACACTTTTCTTACGCAGACAAAAAAGTCGTGACTTTGGGACTCGTACAAGGAGTTTTTGACGTATCAGTGGCCGTTTTCTGGCTTCTCTGGGTGCCGACGATAGTGGTATGTGTTTTGGTTTTCCTTTTTCGCTTTGTTGTAGGAGAAAAACAGTTTATTTTACAGGCCGATGGTCGAGAGATTTATGTTGGATCGATATATGCTTGCTTGATGGCCTCTGTTATGGTGGGGACTAGTATTGCTGCTTTCCTTTCATCCTTCCCGTTGCTCACACCTGAGAGATCTCTTGCTCTTGTGCTGGCTATTGCAAGTATCTGCTTATTAGTCCCGGCCTACGATTACCAGGTAGAAACTTTAATATGTTTCCATTTTCCGCAGTGGCTAAGCTTTTGCTCTGCGTTGCAGGAGATTCCAGTGTTGGTGGCGACGTTCTGTGTGTTTCACATATGCGTCGGGATAGCTACGCCTTTGCTAGCTTGCTTTCGAGCCTCGTAAGTAGTTCTCGAGATCGTCTTACGTGGCGAAAACCTCTTGCTATTCTCTGTGTAGATATATCTCCAGTTCTCGTCGAGCAGGAGTTTATGCCATTTACCGTGTTCCAACTGACTTGGCACTCATTCTTTTTCTAACTCAGGTGGGTGAAAGGTTTTATCCTATCGATATTTCCTTTACAAGTCTTTGGTGCTTTTGCAGGGCTCAATCCGTCAGGCATGGGATAATAGCACCATCCTTTACACATGCGGTTTAGCAAATCTTGCAGCCGCGGGAGGGGTGCTTGCGCTGACAAACTCTTGGAAGAAACTCTAGAAAACCATTTGTACGGTAAGAACACTTCCAAGCTTTTTTTTTCCTAGTTTTCCTCTTCCTGCGAAATCTAAGCTCCACTTATTCCGGGATTTCTTATTGACAGGAACTTCTCTCTATCTACACGGTTGCTTGACGCTGGAGAAACTGGAATTTACAGTCGATGAAGCTCTCTCTCTCTCAATCCTCGTTGAGCGGGACAAGGACGAGGATGACAGAGCTGTAACTTATCATAGGATAGATTTGAGCGTTGAGAAGCGGGCTGTACTGCGCGTATGCTGTTGCCAAATCGGGGATGTCGTCGGCTAGAAAGTCGTAAGGGGCGGGCTTGCTCGAGTCTACCACTGGCTGCCATTTGAAGCCTGGCCTTTCCGGGAGAGTGACCAGCACTGGCAGATGGCTCGTGTTAAATGCAATGTAAAGCTCTCGCTTCTTCGCATCCACCTGCGAGAATGTCAATAGCTGTGTAAGGAAGTATGAGAACTTAAGAGAGCCTACCAGTGAAAATGCGACGAAACGGCTGGTTTCGGACCAATCTGGAGTCTCTGGAACAACGCCGTGCCACTCCAGGCGCTCGGCTGTTGGGAAATCTCCAAGTCCAAGCGACTCGGATTGCCTGTGAAAGATGTTTAGTGTCTCATATGAGAATGGATGCCGCTAACTTGCCTTCTAAAGTTGAACAGATGGCGTGAGAACCGGAAGAGACCGGTTGGATCCGTTCGCAATTTATCCCACCTGAAATAGTTTATCTACACGAAGCACATCTTTTGCACAAACTCGTTAACACCGGGAGTGGAAACAATGGATGGAATTCTTACAGCATTGTCGTGGCAGTACGTGTTGTTGTTCCCTCCTTTTGTATGTGCGTACTCATCGCCCATTGTTACCATAGGTACACCCTGTGAAGCAGCTTGTTTGGCGTTGGAAGGAAGCAGCCACTTTAGCTTACCTGAGAGACCATAAGAGCTACCAGAAAATTCCTCAGCTGCCTGTGCCTTAGGCGGCGCACACGAATGCTAACGAGCTCGCCTTCCTGCCATGGAAAACCGTCCGTTATTGCAATGTTTCGCATTTGCCACCATCCCTACCTCTCCGCAATTCCAACTGTTGTTATGAGTTTCCCCATCGTTGTTGCTCTCCCCGTTCGCTATGTTGTGCTTCGAGTTGTACGACACAAGGTCAAGTAGTGTAAATCCATCATGAGCAGTTACAAAGTTGACGCTGTGCCATGGTTTTCTGCCTCCGTCCTGAAAGTAGAGAGTTTCATGGTGGGAACTATAGACTCCCAAGTACCTGATATAAGTGCGGCGAGCCACACAAGCACTGTGCGAATGCCCCAGCCAATCCATCAGTTCCTTTGATAAAAAGGCGCACAGTATCTCGATACTGAAATGAAAAATGTGGAAACGCATGTAAGAAAACCAGGGAAATCACCTGTCCATTCCATTCAGACCAGATTCCCCAGTGAGGAAAATTTCCCACTTGATAAAGACCTCCTGAATCCCATGCTTCAGCAATTAGCTGCCGGTACAAAAAGCTGTTGAGAAAGTGTACAATGAAAATTACAAGCACGGACCTTCACTCCTCTCAGAACGGGATCGTTACTTATCATATCGATAAGTGGAGGTTCACTCAGTGGCGTGCCTGTTGTCACAGAATCTCCATCCACGTCCTCGCTAGTGCCAAAAACATTTGCTTTATCCCAAAGACTAGAGGAGATTTGACAAAGGTTAGATTCTCCTGAAAACATCAAGATTGGGACGTACCTACTTGCGCGGGTTAGTATGGACGCTAGATCAAAACGAAAACCATCAATGTGCATCTCCAGCACCCAGTACCTAAAACATTTAGATTTGTTACTTTGTGATTCACGTCGTTCAAACCATCAAATACCTCAGACAATCAACAATAAATCGCCTGACCACAGGATGGTTGCAATTGAATGTGTTCCCGCATCCAGAATAATTATAGAATTCTCCCTATAGAAACAAGTAAACCCAGTTTGTTTTATAGAAGGTGTAACTATCAACCTTGGGCGCAGTCATGTAATAGACACGGTTATCCAATCCCCGAAAAGAAATAATCGGTCCCATTTCATTTCCTTCAGCAGTATGATTGAAAACTACATCCATAAAAACCTGTGAAGTATCTCGGTCAGTACAAAATCCACGGACAATGCATATACCTCTATGCCAAGCTTGTGCGCCTCCCTTACAAAAGTTTTAAACTCTTTAATCGCATCACGACCACAGTTTTGTATTCCAGACGAAGCATATCTCGTCATTGGAGAAAAGAAATTGATGGTCGAGTAGCCCCAGTAGTTCATCCTGAGAGGCAAACGAACTGCATCACTATAAGGTAATGAAGCAATGCAACAACTTACTTGTGATCACCCATCACGGGATTGTACGAATAGTATTCTAGCTCATTAAACTCGTGAATCGGCATCAGTTCTATCGCGTTGATACCCAAGTCCTGTAGCATCCCCATGTTAGTCCTTGAAACCTTCTCAAACAACCATATACCTTCAAATGTGGCAGCTTCTCCAGGGCTCCGAGGTATGTCCCAGGAAAATCCACATTACTTGATGGATGCTGCGTAAAACCACGCATATGAAGCTCATATATTATAAGATCCTTTTGTTTGTGACGCGGAGGCGAATCCCCTTGCCAATCAAACTGAAACAAAACAGAAAGCTTGTAGAACAATGCAAGATTTGGCAAACTCTACCTCGTCGTTTAACTGCGGAACCATCCCGGCCATCTGAGGCCAGCAGCTGTTTCCAGGTCCTAAAGCTCCGTATTTTCCCCGACTAACTACAGCCTGCAGCACCAAAAAACTCCTGTCAAATCTATTCATCTCTTCATTCCTTACCTTAGCATAAGGATCTACAAGAATTCGAGACAAATCGTAGCAGCACCCCTCCTCCAGACTGAATTTCCCATTTAGCCGGTATCCATACAGCAAATTTGGACATACGTCTGGGAGATAGACATGCCACACATCTCCAGTCCTGTTAAAAACTGGATGGAGAGGAAATTCTTTACTAACTCGGCCCTGCAAACAAAAAGAGTAAAAACCAAGTCGATGGAAGCACAAGAGCAATGCCCATACCTTTTGCAAATCTTCCTCGGTGAACAAACACAAGGACACAGCGATCGCGCCGCTAGAATGCACAGAGAAATTTACACCCCCTTCCACGGGCGTAGCGCCGAAAGGAAGGGGTCTCCCTCGCTTGGGCGACCCTGCCAATTTCTTCACATCCACGCTCTCCGACGAGCTGTAACTGGACGTGCTCGTCTCCATCGCGCGGCACGAGACGACGGGATCACCGCCATTGCAATGCCTCCACCAAGAAATCTTACCCCTGCAATGCCAACCCCTAGCCAGATTCACGCAATGCGGGGGCGCCCGATCGCTGCAAGACGCGGCCGCGGCATCGCCTCGATGACAGACCCTAGGAGCATCCGGCGAGGCACTGGGAATGGCGCCTGAGACAATCGCCGGCGCCATCGCCATAGCTCAAAAACAATGTTCCTCACATGTGGAAAAGCAAACCCTTTATACCAAACCCTGAGAAAATATTCCGTCACACTTAACAGAATATCCTTACCTGGTAGTTGCCACATGACATGCCAGCACTGGATAAACTCAATGCAAAAAAACAAATTATGGTAAAAACGATTTCTTATTCTTTTGGGTTTTTAGCAGCGAGCATCAAAAAACAAAAAAAAAAACTCTTTAGAGAATTTATAGAGTCAGATCCTTGGGGTTCTCGATGATCTTCGCTAGTGTCTGCAAAAATGCTGCTACGTCCGCGCCATAGATGATCCTGTGATCCGCAGTGATGTTCACCTGTGCGAAAGATTCGATCAAGACTGCTAAAGTTTCTAAAACCTAAGATACAAACCTGCATTTGGTTCTTGATTCCAAAGAGACCATCTGAAGTTGCCACAACAGTTGGAGCAGAAGCTCCCACAGCCATAATCGCTCCCTGGGAAAGTTTCGAGATGAATCAGGGATTGTTGATCCAAGGAAGAACTTACCGTGCCGGGTGGGAGAATCGCGTCAAACCTATCAACGCCAAACATCCCCAGGTTTGACAAAGTGAAAGTTCCTGTCGAAATCATCAAAGAAAGTTGTCAAAGTCACTAGTTTGTCAACACCAACCTGAGTTGTACTCGCTGGGCTGGAGTTGTTTCGCGCGAGCCTTGTCAACGAGCTCTTTCCACTTCCGTGATAGACTGTAGATATCCAGCTGCACCACCAACACACAAGACTATGAACTCGAAAACGAGGAATAGAAAGATTTTTGCGTACCTTGTCGGCGTCTTGCAGAACGGGGGTGATAAGTCCGCCGTCAATCGCTACTGCAACGGCGATGTTGATGCTGGCGTTGTACGTGAAGCTCTTCCCATCCTTGCAGCTAGCGTTCATCACGGGGTGCTGTGCTACCGCCAAAGCCACGGCCTTGGCCAAGAGAGCGGACATGGTCACTCCCTTGGATTTGATCTACAAAACAACAGTCACAAAAAGCATCGAGTCGAAACTATGGCTTACCTTCTTGTAGAGCGCGTCGAGAGCGTCGGTGGTGATCGTGTATCCCACTCTGAAAGTTGGAACTGAGAGGCTCTCCACCATATTCTTGGAGACTGCCGCTTGCATGCCAGTGAAAGGAACGGTCGATCCCAGCGGAACTGGGGCTGGAGCAGCCGCTGGAGCCGACGAAACTGGAGAAGGAGCGGCGGTCACCGGAGCGGCAGTGACAGCAGCTGCTGTAACAGGAGCTTTTCCAGTGGATGCTTCGACATCAGCTCCAGTGATCCTGCCCGAGGGACCAGTTCCAGCGACAGCAGCCAGATCCACCTTGAGTTCCTTGGCAAGCTTCTTCGCGTATGGCGTAGCCACTATCCTCGTTCCTCCTTGCGACGCAGGATGAGATGAAACCACAGGAGTGGCAGCAGCCACAGCAGGAGCTGGAGCTGCCGAGGGTGGCGGCGGCGGCGGTGGTGGCGACGAGACTGGAGCAGCGGGAGCAATGGAATCAATCGCTGCTGGAGGCGGAGCAGGAGGAGGAGCACTTCCAGACGACGCTGCAAACTTCGCCTTTGCTTCGGCAACTTCGTCCAAGCTCTCGGCGAGAATTCCAATCGCAGCGCCCACGGGAGCCACTTCTCCCTCTCCCACAACGATGGAGGCCAAGTAGCCATCGTAGAACGTCTCCACGTCCATGTCGGCCTTGTCCGATTCCACCACCACAACGCTCTCGCCTTTGCTCAGCTTGTCGCCCTCGGCCTTCATCCACGACACAATCTTCCCCTCGGTCATGGTGGAGCTGAGCGCCGGCATGAAGATCTCCCGGATTTTGGCCTGGACGCGCAAGCTCCTGCGAGATCTCCTCGACGGCCTGGCCGACGGCGCCGCTGCTGCCGCGGATGGGACGCCATCTCCCAGGAATCGAGATTTTCGCGAAATCTCTTCGAAAGAAGGCGCTGCCACGGACGCTGCTCCCGCAATTGCGGCCATGGTTGGAACTTGGATCGATCTACGCACAGCCAACATGCATTGCTCGCAAAAAGCCACAGGAAATGGAAGAATGGAGCTTACCTGTGGAAGAATGGACGCCAAGAACACGCTTTGCTTAGCTTGCTCGCCTCAAACCCTATATAAGAGTGTCATGCGATTAGTAGCGCTGCTCATTCGTCCCGGAGAATCCGTCGGCCTGGCTCCATCCTGACCGTCCAAGTTATTCCTCATTAAACTAATTAAAAATGATTTAAATGTATTTGTTATACTAAGTAATAAGCTTTAAGCAAAACCTATGGATGTTCTTGTTCTTCGTGGTTTCGCGCTCTCCGCAGGGTTTGTTTGTTTCATTCTAGGGATTTCTCTGAGGTGCGTCTTGATCCTTAGATCCCAGAGGGCTAGCATCAATTTCCATCAGCGGCCATGGCGGAGGGGATCTAGATCGGCGCTCAAGTCCGGTAATACGTTTCTTTCCCTTGCTGCGCATTGCGATCGTCAGGGTGTTCATAGATTTCCAGGGATGGATGCAAATGCTGCTCCATTCTCCAGAGAGCTCGAGAATGCGTCGGATTTCGCGGCCATTTCAAGCAATGGATTGGTCTCAATCTGTGGCTTTGGTTCCCTTCTTTCTGGTAAGTCATTCTTTCATTCCTTTTCTTTTTATCTAACTTTGAGCTGTGCGTTTAGAAAAGAGTGCTCGCTCCACGTTTCCCAGGCTTCTCAATTTCCGACCTGGAGTCGTCAAAAACTTTCGACGGATCTTTGCGCACATCGCTCCAATATTTCTGGAACGCGGCATCGCGAATGTTGAAACAAAGGTAGGAAACACTATCTACGTAGAACTTTTTTCGATAACGTTTTTCTTTCTTCACAACTTTTGCTGGTTATATTTGTTCCTCACAGGAAATGTCGAGCTTGAGCGTGGAGCCATGCATTGGGGAGTCCATAGTCGTCACTGTCTTCGAAATCTCTCTGCTTGAGGTAGACATTCGTTTCGGATCTCTGTGAGTTCGTTTTCTTTTTTTCTTATTGCAGGTTCCGGCTTTCATACAGCGGGAACACGAGTTTCGGTTTCTCGAAGTAAGTCTCGGGTGATTCAACCGGCCTTTGTTTTACGTATTTGTTTTTCTCTCTTTAGGTGGCCGTTGTCAACTCTTCTGAAGAAAATGCGATTCATCTCTGTAAGGCTGTGAGTATTCTGACGGTATCTGGAAGATCCCTGAGCTTATTTGAGCAACCAGGTGATTTGTGCCAAGTACAGCGACGAGGAATACTTGTCCATTCGCTGCCAAGGTGACAGTTACCTGTTGGGACACCTTTCTGAAACGAAACATGCGACACTGGATTGTAGGAAACAAGGACGTCTTCTACGAACGCTATGGAAAGCATGGAATCCAGCAGATATGGCGTGATGACATACTCCCTTGCCGACTCTATCTTCATCATTGGTATGAGCAGTCTCTTTTCTCATTTCTTACATTTCGTTGGTGCCAGTGTTCTAGCAGCGAAAAATCTTGGGCAGGATGCATTCGAAAGCTTCTTAGACCACACTTACCTCGGGGACCGAAGAACAAGAATACGAGAGTACTTGGACGCTCATCCGGGTATAATGAAAGAACAGCCTCCGGAACATCTCCGTGATCGTTATGGAGGCTAGGTGCGCCCGCCATTTCTCCATTCGCGTAAGATAGTCCTGACTTTGTTCTTCGCAGGCTATCAGCATTTTGTACAAAGCGATGGACATGATCGGGTCCTTTTCTTTGGACGAACGTGAAGATCACAGACCATGCGCAAAAGACCATAAGAATGGAAGATTTCGAGCTTACCTGAAAGAACTATTAACGTATTCTATAATTCACCGATTTCATCCAGCCTTTGCTTTTACTTAGCATGCAGCCAAGAACCATTGCTTGCGGGTTCCGGAGCTTAGCATGAGCAACACAGCGCGAATCACCACTCCATTCTTGCCAACGCGCTGTCTAAAGCAACCTGTCCGACAGCGAATCTCTCTCCCTCTTGGAGCTCTGTGATCTCCCAGGCTCTGAAACCTCACAATTTGTGTGGAATTCCCAGGAATGCTCCCATAATTTCTCAAGGCACAGCTCCAGTGCAGCGCAGAGATTGGTCATCGAGAGAGAGAGTCCAAGAGTTGACTAGAGCACTTTTCTAAAGAGAGGAGAGGTCAATGGCAATGCTGCTAACACAAATAATTACTTTTTAAAGGTAATGATACATTATCAATACTCACTGTTAAATTTATGGAAATGGTTTTGAGCCTAATGGTTCAAACTTCCTAAAATTTGGCCCTTAATGTTAAGGGTAAGCGTAGACCTAGGGCACTATTAAGAATTGGTAGAAGTTTCTTGTAGAACATTCTGAAAATACAGCTTACGTTAGATTTGACTCAGGATCGGCAAGTATGGGCCGTTAACTCTTGTGCCTACCACACGCTTTGCACGCTTCCGCAAAGTGGATTGGAATCCACGCTCAAGTCCGCAGAGGAAACACGACTTGGCTGCCGTCATTGTGGTGGGCAATTGTTAGCTCGCAGCTAGGGTTTGGAAGTTCCAAGCGCCGAGGTAGAGGGATCAGGGCTTGCAAGCAGCAGCGATGGCGTGCGACAGTAGCACGATCGCCGAGGGCGTGGAGCGATGCCCATTCCTGAGGAACATTGGCGAGCCGACCTCGTTCAATTTCAGCAGCTTTGCTCCCATCAAGTTCCCCAACCCGGTAAGCGCCTCGAGATTCTGGAAATTTAGCTCGGGATCTGAAAATTTTGCCCCCCTCTTCTTCAGCTGCGCGGATCGAGAGGGCCAATTTTTGAGGATGGCCCTGGTTTCGACACCGCATTTCGACTGTTCCACGGCAAGGATGGTGTGATTCCGCTCTCCCGGAACAAGGCTGACGATGGCGCCGAGACCCTGGAAGTCCCCAAGATGGGCTTCCATCCACTGGCGGCATCCGCGGCTACCATAAGTCTCTCCTCGTTTGGAGCCGGGAGATTTAATTTTGACGCGTTCATGGC